AGCGCATGGCAGTCATGGCTTCGACTTCGGCCGCTCAGCAGTCTTCGGCAGCACAGGCTCAGCCGCAGCGCGAGGCGGAGACGACGGCTGTCCCGATGAGGATGGGCGCGCGGTCGGAGAAGAAGTTGACGGGGCGGCAGCGGGCCCGGAGGAAGCAGCTCAAGGAGCAGGAGGAGGCTCGCATGCACGAGTGACCGTTCTCACCCCTCGACTCGCGCCTCTCGGGATGCCATCTCGCAGGCCTCGCTCGCATCGCATCCCATCTGTCAGCAACCCGCACCTTTCGCTCGTTCGCATTCCTTACTGTTTATCGTTGACATCCATATCGCAGCCACCTCTCATCGCTCTTCTTAGTCGTTCTATCAACCACGCAGCCATCTTCTTGCACTGCATCCCGCTTCAGGCGTCTCTCCTCATCGAGCGAGCGGGAAGTTGAGAAGGTCATCGCCTTCCGCTTCGTTGCGCTGGCGACGTCTATGCTCGTCTACACGCCGTCTACGCTCCTGTCCGCAAGTCGCAGCACTCGAAAGGCAGGTCGCGGACCTTGCAGTGGCCAAAATCGCTGTCGACATCAGTGTAGAGCGGGAGGTCGAGGCTGTTTTTCGCGGGCACAAAGATGCTCAATCGCTTCAGCTCGTTCTTCTACCTGAGTCACGTCAGAGGAAGGGCCGAACGCACTGCGGATGAAACGCCCCCTGCCCTCTACACGTCCCAACCACCTCCAACCCGGGCGGGTCCGTCAACCTGAACACGCCGAAACTCGGGTCGTGGCGAGGAGAACAGACGACTGCGATGGCTTCTGCGAGCATGACTTGGTACGAGGCGTGCGTGTGGAGGTCGAGGGAGGAGAGGAAGATTGTTTGGGAGGGGTGGGTGTGGATCTGCGCGTCGAGAGCGGGAAGTCGTTAGGTCCGCTTTGGACGTCCTGTATCGCGCGAGGCGACTGGCTAGCGTGGCGAGGGGAGAAGCTGCGACGCACCCAACCGAGCGTCAACAGCCCCCTCCTGTCCTGAAACTCAAACACCTCCTCCTCGTTCATCGTCGTGCACGTGTCGCTCGTCCCCTCCTGCTTCGGCACCAACAAATGCGTAACCGTGAAAACATCCCGCGCCTGTCCTCGTCACCCGTCACCCGTCAGCAGAAGGAAGGTTGGAGGAGAAGAGGCGAAACGCACGAGTCGACCGAGCAACAATCCGCAGGTCTCGATATTCCGCGCGGTGTTTCGAGCTGCGACGATGTCGGTGAAGTGTGGGATGAGGCGTTCGGGGAGGAAGAGGGTGCGGAGGGGGGCGCCGGATTCGGTTGTTGCGACGAGGGAGGGGTCGTCTTGGTCTGCGGATGCAAGGAGAGTCAGTATCTCCGGCGGACAGTACAAGAGCGGCAGAGAAGGAAACGCGCACCTTCCGCTTCCTCATGCACTTCCACCTCCACCACCCCGCCCAACCCGCCCCTCCCCTCCCTTCCACTCATCCTCCTCGAAACCGTACTCGCAAGACTCAAGCTCCTCGATCGGCCTAGCGCAGCAGTCGACGTTTGCGGCGCGTCATGTGTAGGCTGTAAAGGAGGAGCGGAAGGAGCGGGGATGGAAGGGAGGTTGGGAGGTGCGGAGGGCTGAGGAGGAGGGGGGAAGGGAGGGACGGGCAAGTGCGTTTGGGAGGACGGTTGCGGATAGGTTGAGGGCGGTGTAGGATGTTGAGGATGGGAAGAGAAAGCGGGAGGCGGGACGGGAGGGACAGGCGGGATGGGTGGGATGGGCGGAGTAGGGTACTGAGGCGGCTGAGGCGGGAAAGACGGATGCGAATGAGGCTGCTGCGGCGGAGCATGAAGAGACTGCAACAATTGACTTGGGTAGTGCTGCGCTGTAGGCGGCGAAGGCGAGGGACCGAGGTATTGAGGATAAGACGGAGCGAGAGGCGAGACATTGGCGGCCTGCACGGGCGGATACGGGGGAATGTAGTGCTGCTTTGGCTCCTCCTCTTCACTGTATTCCTCATCCGACTCGCCTTCTCCAGGAAGCGGTAACGGCGCGCTCGGCTCGTTCGTCCTCGCTGGGCCGGACGTCGACGCCGTAGGCGCGTGGAGAGACGGGTACGCGGGTCCGGCATGGGTAGCCGATGGTGCTGAGGCAGGAACGGCGATCGGAGGAGGTGGAGAGACGAAAGTCTCGCCGAGTTTCGGGATTCGACGACCTTGAGCGCGAGGGAGCAAGTCCGCCTGTCCCGTCGGCCTCGACTCGTTCGCAAACGCCTCTTCTTCCGCGTCGTCGCCAGGGATAGGCAGGGCCCCCTTGAGGTCCTCCACCCGCTCCTTTGTCCCCGCCACAAGCGGCCTCCCCAACCCTCTCATCCCCTCCAACCCCCTCCTCAACTCGCCTATCGCAGTCCTTCTTTCTCCCTCTTGTCTTTCCCGCGCCCCCGCACGTCTGGGGTGCGCACCACTCGGCATTTCGGCAGAAGACGAGGAAGAAGAGGGAAGGCGTGCGGGAGGAGCGGTCGAGTCGGTGTAGGTTGTGGCGGCGGGGGTGATAGTATTTCGGAGCGTTAAAGCGGGTGAGGGAGAGGAGGTGAGTTGGGAGGAAGAGGAGGAGGGGAGAGAGGAATAGTAGGTCGTTGTGCGGGAGACGAGGTAGGATTTGAGAGAGGCGTGGATTGCGGAAAAGGTGGCGATGCGCTGTGCGACAACAGACCTCCGCTATCAACTCGTGCCCGCTCGATGACGCGAATGCCGAGAACTGAACCACGGCTGGACTCACCTGGTGAATTGCGCCGAGTTGCTCGTCTGACAAAGTCCGCCATTCAGGGTGCAAGCGTGGGAGGACGTCTTGTAGGAGCTTGAGGATGGTAGCGACGCGGACGAAGGCCATCTAGCGGGTGGAGGGAGAGATTTAGCAGCGGCGGAGGGGAAGGGAAGGAGAAGACGCGCGTCGTAGTTGCCCTCCTCCTGGTACACCTGCGCCCTGCACACACCACTCCCACACTCTGTCAGCTCAGCACGACAACGCGACGAAAGAGCGCGAAGACTCGCTCGACCTCCAATTGCCTCACGGCCCGCACCCAATGCCTCAGCGGCAAGCCCGGGTCCCAGCTGCTCGCGACAATCTCGTCCGCGATATCCGCAAGCTGTGCGAAGGAGCGTGGCGGTGGATCGGTCGGTGCGGGTGGTGGAGTAGACGAGGGAGTCTGAGCGGCCGACGAGGGAGCGAGTTCAGCGGTGAGAGACGAAGCGGGCGGAGCGGGGTCTGCGGTAGGTTGTTTCGTGCGCTTGAAGCGTTTGCGCAAGAGCGCAGCGGCCATCCTGTGCGTGTTCAGCGAGTGCAGCGGTGTGTTTGAGCGGGAAGCAGATGAGGAGGGGAGAGGAGGCACAGTGACGGTCCGCGGTACTCCGTGGCGAGCTGGAGCGGTGAGTGGCTGTCGATGTGAGTCCAGCGAGTGCTCTCCCAGCAGTACCAAGCAGAGCGAGATCGAGTGAGCACGGCGACCTCGTGCTGGTGAGCGAGAAGGATTACAAGTCCAAGCATTACAATGTTGTATTGAGCGAGTTTGTATTCCATCCCCCACTCCCCGCTTCCCGACCGCCTCATCAGGTTAGCGCTAGTCACTCTCCCTTGGACTCGCTGTGACTGCGTGAGAGCGCTCGAGAGGCTTACAGTGCTCGCCATGGACACACACACCGCAACCCACTCGCGCAGGGGATCAACCACCCAGCCCCAGCCCGTCCCCATCGCGTCCTCTCCACGCTCATCTCCCCAGGCCTCGTCCACCTCGCCCACCAGCTCAGCACTCTCACAGTCACTGAAGGCATTCCAGGGACTCGCTCTCAGCCCACCGAGCTCGACCGCGACTCAGCAGAACCCCTTGCACTCGGACGAGTTCCGCGAGGCGTTCCATCACGTCCGCAGGGCCTCGACAGGCGCACACCCGAACCAGGGCAGGCCCATCGTCATCAGCGACGCTGCGACGGGCACAGCGAACCTCGCACCCCCCGTCCCGGGCCTCTCGACCTCGCCCTCGTCGTCGTCAGAGGCCGGAACCTCGGCTGGCTCGCTCCCGACCCCCTCGTCGTCGCCCTCCTCTGCCGCCGCACCCGCTCTCCCCGCGACAAACACCGGCAAGGCTCGCTCCGTCTCGAATGGAAAGGTCGGGAAGCCCTCGGCGACCCTGGGCGGCGTGTGCGAAGGTCCCGAGATTGCGTTCGAGCGAGGCGAACTCGCGATTGAAGACGACGACGACGCGCCTTCTCCTCCGCCCGCTCTGACGCCCCCCGCCTCGAGCAGCCTCTTTGCTGGCGGAGCGAGGTGGGGATGGCCCGCGGCGGGAGCAGGCTCGACCGGTCCCTCGCCAGCAGCAATCGGGCCGCGCAGCCCTCCCGCGACAGACTCGTTCCTCCAGCGGCGGGGATCGCTCTCGTTCGCTTCCGCCGGCGCAGCGAGCACCTCTGCGGGCCTGTCCGTCTCCCCCTCGAGCTCAGTCGCGACGATCAAAACGACCGGTTTCGCCGCCTCGCCTCCAAACGGCACGACTTCGACCTCGTCTGGATCGCCTTCGACGTCGACGTCGCCCACGACCGACCCCTTCAAGATGATGCAGCCGCTCGGACGAGTCGTCAGTGCGGGCGCGGCGCTGCAGACGCCTTCGTCGGCAGAGGCGGGCGGAGGAGGCGGACCTGGGTTCGGGCTGTTCAGGCGGTTCTCGATCGGTGGACTCGGCTCTCGCAAGGTACGTCTCGTTCTCGCTCGCTCCCCTTTCCCCAGCCGTACTGATCCCCCCACTCGCGCACAGCCTTCACAACCCGCTCCCGCTCCTCCCTCTACCTCCCACCCCGCCCCAACGCTCCTCACACCCTCGCACAGCTCTCTCACCTCCGCACCTGCCCCTCCCGCCCTCACGACCGACACCAAGCCCTCTGCGTCGGGCGCAAGGGGAAGGACGCTCGCGCCCCCGGGCAAGGGGGGAGGCGCGAAGGGGAGGAAGTTGAGTCCGATGGGGGAGAGGATCCTCCGAGGCGGCTACTGAGCCCGCCCCCTCCCATCCCGACTGAACTCGCAAACCGAATCCAACGCTCGTTGTATCTATCCGCCCGCTGAGCTCTTCTCACGACCCGCCTTCTCACGACCGCACGTTCTCCTCTCTCCCTGAACACATTCGAACCGAACCGACCCTTGTCATTGTCTCTATTACCTATTGCAGCACCTCCTTTTCTCCTTCGCGCGCCCAAAACCGCCCTCTCTCGCTCGTCGTTCTGTCCACATCTTGCCGTGTCTTTGTCTCATTCTCTCTCGCTCGTGTCGTTCCTCTTCGTCGTGTCATGTAAGAATTAACCCTGTTTCATCCACTCCTGTTACGAGTCTACGAGCGCGAGAGAGGAGGAGAAGGGCTGGGTGCGAAAGATGCCGTCCCGTCAGTCCCATTGTACGAGCCATTCTGCCCGTCCGTTCCGCTCCGTCGTGAACCGTGAACCGGGTTTCGTCCATGAAGATGATGATGGGATAGCTCGGTTGGGGATCTAGTCACCTCTTGCCTTCGCGAGTGGAAGCGGATCTGGGTGCGTCAATGTCGCCCTTGTCAACCAAAGATCTTTTCGGTAATCTTGACGGTCTTGGTCTTGCTGCGGACGATGGGAGAGGACGGGTAGCTCGAGCGAGGATCAACGCACCGTGCGCCCGACGAGAAAAAGCGGATTGAAGCCCTGGGTGCGTCGATGTTGCTCTTGTCAGCCTACGGTACTTCTTGTAGTAGGTCTTCCGGCTTCTTGATCATCTCCTTGCTCGTCTCGTCCGTGATCCTTGCGATTTGCTGCGCGCGGCGGTAGAAGTTGGGCAGCTCGAGCGAAAGACCGACGCACCTCTCTCTGCGAGTGAACGGGTCGAGTTTGGGTACGTCGATGTCGCCCTTGTCAGCCAAATGAATAATGTTCAACATGAAGATATCGATGCTGCGAGCGAAGGTAGTCTCTGGACAGCTCGAGCGAGAATCGACGCACCCGGAAACTTTCCGAGTCTTGCGGGAAAAGAGGCGCGCTGCAAGGGAGAAGGGTACATCAGTGCCCGTGCTAGTCAAGTCTGTCGGCGAAGCCAGATCCTCCTTGCTCGAACGGGGAGACTGACGCACCTTGCGAGCTCGTGACCGAGTTGAGCGAGACGAGCGAGGCCTGCGTGCGTCGGTGCCGGCGATGTCAGTTCTCGGCACAAAGGCAGGTGCAAGAGTCAGGATCGAGAGCGGCTCAGCCGGAGACCAATGCACCTCGACAGGCTTGGCGACGCCGAATCCGAGACGAGTCGATTCGAGTCGAAACCTGGGTGCGTCGATGCCGACCTCGTCAGTCCCTCGTCCCATGGCATCAGATCGGAGCATTGATGCGGATCGAATGCTAGGTGTGAGCGACTCGCGGGCGTGACCCGGGGGGTGCGGCCGCAGACGAGTGCTGTGAGACCCGCTCTCGAGCGCGAGAAGTCGGTACGCGCGAGCTTCTGAGCGCCGAGAGCCCGACTACTGGTCCCGGGGGAGCCAGCTGACGGCGTAGCCCATGTTTTAACCGCGGCGCTGGCGCGGAACACAGCGGGGTGGAGAGGGAAGGCCCGGACGGAGATCGACGCACCGTGAGTTGCGGGATAGAAGAGTTGAGGGGCGAGGGGGCAATCGAGACGCAGGCGGATCTGCGGAGGAAAAGGCAGTGAGGCGGATTCGAAGTGGATCAGGAGGACCCTCACCTTGGAGGTGGAGCCGCGGAAGAGGCGAGCGAGCGAGACGATCTGCGAGAGTGCGTCGCCCTCAGCATCTTGTCGATCCTAAAACGCAGACTAGCTCTTGTTGATGTTCTGTGGGAGGCAGCGGACGGAATCGAGCAGGAGACGTGATGTTGTCGGAGTTTCGCCTTTTCGGAACAGAGGGTGGCCGCCGATGGCGACTGGAGAGGGTCGGAAAGCTCGATACTGGGGCAACGCACCTCTTGAGGCGAGGAAATCAAGCTGCGAGGCCAATCGTCAGCCCCGAAGTCGAAGCGAGAAGGCGGGGACACGCACCCTGAAGTTGTGTTGCTGACGAGCGGGAGCCTTGACGAGCGGCGGCCCTTGACACATTGTCCGTCTTGACGAGCGCGCCAAGTCGACGTCGGGAGCGAGAACCTATGGGAGGAACGTCGCCCTCAGCACCATGTCAAGCCGTGCGCAAACGACAGCTGCTGCGGCGAGGGCGCGGAATGCGCTTCTCGCACGACTATCGGACCTCATATCGAGGAGCTGGATGATGATGGTACGCCGACGGAGGCGCAGGCGATAGCGACGGATAGTCGAAGGACGGGGCGAGGATAGTCGAAGGACGGGGTGAAGGGATGTGGACGGCGTAGCCGAAGGGAAGGTGTACCCTTGGGGTGGAGCTGGTGGATGAGGTATTCGCGGACGGCAAGTCGCAGGTGCCCGAGGGGCAGGAGGGGAGTGGAGAGAGCTGCTGCCGTTCGACCCGGATCGCTCCACGCGGGTGCGGAGTGCCGGCGCAACAGGCAGGCTGAGGTACTGGGGCGACGTACCGAATGAGGGTGATCTCTTGAGGCGATCTCGACCTGCCGAGCGGGGCGTTTGGGTCAGATCCAAGTGCGAAGACATGAGGAAGAGGGCGACTTGCCTGTCGAAGCGACCGTTTCCTCCCCAACCCGTCTCGCTCCTTCCTGCGCTGCCGTGTCCTATTCTCGAGATGTTTGGTGTTTGGCAAGGCTTTGGGTGGCGTCTGGCGGGCCGTCCGAGGGCGTAAGAGCGCGTGAGAGCTGTTGAGGCGGGAGAGGAGGCGAGGGTGGGTGAGGCGGTCCAGCGGTGCAGCAAGGCCGTGGAGCGCGTTGGGAGGTCAGTGGCTCGACGAGCGATCGGTTCTCAAGCAGCAGCAGCACTTCTGAGCCAACCAGAGCGCGTGAGGCGAAATCGAGTGAGCCTCGAGTGGGAGAGAGGCGTGAGCGGGTCGTCGAGCGGTGTCGCCCGCTGCGCGAGAGCGTTGTCGCCTCCGAGGTGCATTCCTGAACCTCCAAGTGCCGCCCAATGTCTGTCCCATCCTTCGCGAGCTGTCCTCCTTGCCGTGCTGACTTCATCGAGACGAGCGTGAGGTTCGTCTGTGAGATGACGAGGGCGTCGTAGGCGTGGGCGAGCATGGTAGTAGGATTTGGAAGCTCAGCAGTATCGTCCACAGGTGTAGTGCTCCATTCGCAGCGGGTGCGGGTGAGAGGGAGGAGGGAGAGCGAGGAGTGGGAGAGAAGAAAGGGAGACGGACGTCGTCAATGAGCTGAGTAGTGTGTTGCCTCGCTTACGTTCTCGCGAGCGAGAAAAGTGGGAGACTAGCCGCAAGGTACAGCCCGCGTGTGAAGCACCCGCCGACTACCCCGTCCTCCTCCTCCTCCTCCTCCGAAGACTGTGAGACGAGGACGTATATAGCTGTGACGAGCAGTTGTTTCTCTCCAGCGTGACAAGCGCGGATACACGACATTGCAGGCCAGGTCGACTCCTTCCACGCCTAGCGTTCTTCCTCCTGCTTCGCCTGCGCGATTCGCTATCGGCAAGCTCGCTTCGATCGCGGGTATGAGACGCTGCGACGGGACGAGAGTCATCACAAGGAAGGCTTAGACAGAGGAAGACGTGGGTACCTCGACCGATCGCGAGTCGAGGCGCTCGCTCGAGCCGACGTCGAGACCTGGGTGCGTCGATGTCGCCTTCGTCAGCCGAGGTCCATGAATATGAATGAAGGCGCTCTTCAGAGAACGGCTGCAGACGGCGGTAGAAGGTGGGCAGCCCGGGCGAGGATTAACGCACCTGAATGAGCAAGCTGAAGCGCGAGTCTGCAGAAGCGCCTAGGCACGCGTCAGTTCAGCGCGACCGTTTCCAAGAGCTGAGACGAGCGCACCTTGCGAGATTCGGGAGCGAAGGACCCCCCTTCGAGCTGAACCTGGGTGCGCCGGTGCCGTCCATGTCAGTCCGCGTCCATGTACTTCTGCCGCGCTTTCTCGAGCGCGGTGTGACGATTGCTGGTCGATAGAACGTCGATTATTGACGCGATCGTGATGCCCGCAACGATCATTTTGACGGCTGTAGCGTCTCAAAGTCCCGCGGAACAAAGGTAGCCTTGGTCGAGACCGACCATCTCCATCAACGACGACGACGAGGTAACCACAGTAGATAGACAGCTAAGACGGGGACCGGCGCACCTGTATTCGGAAGGGGCGGTATGATGCGCGGGGAAGCGAGACGAGCGAGTCTGCGAGAGTGAGGAGGCGCCAATGCCTTCTGTCAGTTCGGGTAGCCCGGGTCAACGGCGCCGCCGCACGACAGCTCGAGAGAGACCAGCGTACTGGAGAACGGATGAGAAGGAGCACGCGGAGAGCGAATTGCTCGCCGACAAGTCGATGCGAAGAATGTGGTGTAGGCAAGCAGAAGAGGCCGAGCCCGACTGGAAGCGGGCGAGGTTCGTCTTGATGAAGTGGAGCGAGAGAGCTGGGTGCGTCGGTGCCAACCTTGTCAGTCTCCGGGTAATCTCAATCGACTGTGTCATCGTTTGTGCGGATGGTATCCGTTGATCAGGATGGCAGGGGGGCAGTAGTAATCGTGGAAGGCATAGGCTGCTTCATGAACTGGTACTCGTGGACCGGAGACAGCCCGGATGGAGACCGACGCACCTGCTTTGAAAGCGAGCTTGAGAGTGCGACGCGAGAGACCGCGAGTCTGCGAGAGTAAAGGTGCGCAGGTGCCGTCTAGTCAGTCCAGGGTCATCGTGCGGCTCTTAGGAAGACCAACGGAAGGCTCGACGGAAACCTGCGCACCTTTGACGAGTGAGCCAGCTTGAGCGTCGACGGCGAGCATGCCTGGGTGCGTCAATGCCGACCTCGTCAGTTCCCGCTGCCCATGATTCTCGACAAAAGAGACGTGTTCTCGATAACACTCGAATCGCTAGGCGTTCCCTCGACGAGAAGAACGCTACTTGCTGCCCAGCCAGAAGCCGTCGACTGGCCTTCTGATCGCACTGGCGCACGCAAAACCCGGACGGAACCGGTCGACGTAGACGATGTAGCCCATGTGTACCCACTCACATCGCTCGACTCCGCGCAGCGCATGTGGGGTGGAGCAGGAACAGCCCGGAAGAGGATTCACGCACCTCCATGAGATGAGGAGCGGCGGGATGTGCGCAAGGCTTGGGCTCGTCGAGCGGTGATGAGGCGGCAAACTGGCAAGAGGAGTAGCCCCAATCAGCTCTCTTCGAGTTGCGGGGGAGAGAGAGAGAGAGAGAGAGTGAACAAACGGCGACAGACCTGAGATTCGCAAGCAGGTTCGCACCCACTTCGCGGACGTCTCACCGTCTTGCTCAGGTGAAGGATTCTGTAGGGTGCGCCGCGGTCAGCCCCTTGGCGATCCGTGAGGAGCCTACTGATCCGCGAGAGAGGTCCGCCCTGGACCCGGTCTATCCTTCCCCCGCCTGCGCAAAGGGTGAGCGGCTAGGTCGCTCGGGCAGGACGAGCGAAGGAGTGCGACCACGCCTCTCGGTTCGCCAAGAAGCGCTTCTCGCTAGAGCCAGCGGCAGGCTTGTCTAGCCAGGACTCGCCTTCCCATCGAAAAGCTCGGAAAGCTGAGACGACGCACCCGGTCTGTTTTGGCCAATCTGAACGTCAAGTCGCACCGCTCGCCTGCGAGTGAGAGTAGTCAGCCAGAGTGGTTGAAGGCAACGCGAGTGGAAACGTACCTCGCTCAGCCTGAACCGCCAGCGAGTCCTCCCAGCACCGTGCCGCGCAGCTCCATCCATTCGAGCACGATCCCTTAGTCGTCTTGGCCGTCGCACACCCAGTCAAGTGGGCGAGTGGGCTGTAGAAGGTGATGACACGTCGAGAGGGTCTGTGCGAAAAAGGCGCGTCGAGGAGAGCGCGAGGACGGCGTGGGAGGGCGTGCGAGCGGTAGCAGGAGTCTTGAGTGCGCGTAAAGAAAGCATGGTGAGCTGCTCGAGCGGATTCAGCAAGGAATGGCGAGAGCGAGTGAAGTGAAGGAGGAAGAGAGGCGAGAGGGCGAGTGAGAGGGTTCAAGTCCAGCGAGGGCGGCGGGTGAAGGCGTCGAGACGAGCGTGGCAGTACAGTACTCACGATTTAGCCAGCTCCAGGCGCTAGGAAGCAAAGCATGAGCGAAGGCAGCCAGGAAGAGACTGCCTCTCTCGCTTGAGCGGGCGAACGGGCGACTGACACGGGCGAAGGCCTACCTTGTGGTGTTGACGACAGTACGAGAGAGTGCTTGGGCTACTACGCCTGAATCACCGTCCTGATCCCGCCTCGTACCTCGGAGAGACTGTCCCAACACCCAGTCGGGGTTGGACTTCCAAGCTGTATCGCTGGAAGTCCCGCCTGAAGTTGATCTTCAGTACGCACGTCATGTCGATACAGCTGCGATGCTGGAAGAGGCGAGTCGATCGGGACCATCCGGCGTGTGCTCGTGTTCGAGAAGCGAGTCGAGCTGAAGCTGGAGATTGCCTGCTGAATCCGCACCGCCCGAAGCCGGGTCTTCCCACAGTCGTAGTTGGTGAGCGGGTCGTCGAGTCGACGGATCGGCCTGAAGAGTCGCCCTGTAAAAGTGTGCGCCGTCGAAGTCCTCGTCAGTCCGGGTTGCGAGCGACTCAAGCGTGAGCAGGAGTCTCGCCGTTCGATACCGCCTGGCCCGTGAAGACAGGTTTGGCTGGATGTACTGGGCAGTCTCATAGCAGCTGTATCGTGGCAGGCAACCCTGGCCCCATACGGGGAGACACAGAGGCGGAGGAGGACGCAGGGGCTCTGCTCGCCTTCGCTGCGTCCAAGTCTGCGTGTGGAAAGGCCCGGACAGTTCAGGCGACGCACCTGTGCAGCCTCAGTCGTCCTCCAGGTCCCGCGAGCCGTTCACCGCCAGCCCTCGCTCCTCATCGCTCGAGGAAGTGCCACGGCCGAAGTTTCGTATCGTGGCGCTTCGAGCATAAGCTTGAGCAAGTCAATAGTGCTCTCCAAACATGTTTGCGGCAGCAGTGGCCCCAGCGAGCGTTTGCGAGCAATTCATCGAAAGTCAACCGCAAGCTTCGCCCTCGACACTGCTCTTCTCCACGGCTTTTCTGTTTGTTCGGGCTGGCAGTGCTGCCGCGAGTGGTCGACTGAGTGTCTGGCGGGTCCACCGAGGTGCGCACGCCGTTCGCTCCTCTCTCGAGCCGTTCTCACCTTCCTCATCTCGGACAGTTCTCGCCACTCGTCCACACCAGCAAGGGCCTTTGAGACGTCGCAGAAAGTCCTCTACGATGCTCTCGAGTTCGTCACGCGCGGCGACTTGCCGACCTACCGCCTCGATCGTCCGCACCTTCACCTCCTCGACCTCGACTCTCTCCTCGCCCTCCTCATCTCAGCCGCCCAAAGCCCCTGGGACGCCTGAGCAGGACCCTCACGCCAAAATCTACCAGCGGGTACTGCGAACAGCCATCTACGGAACCTACGAACACCAACTTCGCGAGAAGGCGGATCGCTCGCTCCCGGCTGTTGCGAAAGGCTACGTTTCGACCAGCGGCTTCAAGCCGACAAGTCGACGAGACATTCCGGCGTACGCCCGGCGGCTGGTCAAGAAGGATGCGCGGAGCAAGCCCGTCCCTGTCGACGTCGAGCAGGTCGAGCATAGCTTGACGAAGCGAGGCCGGACCGTCGCGCAGCAGGACCTCCTTCCGCGACGAGAAGGCAGTCGGCGACAGATCGGTAGTGGCGAAGAACGAGGCGCCGTGTTCGGACAGCAGGTTCGAGGCTTCTCGACCTCCGCCTCGACCAGTCGCGCTCGCATTTCAGAGGATACGATTGTTGACCACGAGTCGGAGAGCGCGGATCTCGGTGGCGGGTTGTGGGAGGATGCAGAGTCGGCCGACGGGCTCCAACACAGCACTCAGTCGACGTTCCAGCCGGGAGACTTCATCGAGACTACCCGGTGCGTTGCTTCTGCCGCTTTCGTAATGCACGAGTGCTTACTGAAACGCATCTTCGCAGTGGCGCGCAGCTTGAGAACGGTATCTTCATCTGTATCTCGCGAAGGTCAGCCAAAGTCGGCACCATCCTGAATGCCAGCGGCATCCTCGACATCTTCCTCGAAGACGACGTCAGCCGTGCCATTCCCAACTTCGTCGACCCCCAGGTCGCTTCGAGGCTGAAGGCCTACGCACTGGGACTCGACGGCGTCGAGACCGAAGAGCTGCCCGAGGGAATGGACCGCCGACCGTTCGCCGAAGAGCGGCTGCAAATGCTGCAGAAGATTCGCAGTCTCGAGATTGCCATCGATGCGCAGTACAAGCAGCTGCTTCTCAATGGCGGCTCCAACCTCTATCAACTCGTCCGCGCCAAGATTGCGCGGGATCGCAAAGAGCCTTCAATCGTCAACCCTACGGAGAGCATCGACATCGAAAAGGCGATCCGCTATCTCGGCATCTCACGCCCGACCGTCGCAACTCGCATCGCCATGTGCCGTCTCCTCCTCTCCCAGCCGGAATACTTCCTCGCCGACTCGAACATGCTCCGCGAAACCGGCCGCTTCGATCTGCGGTCGCCCAAGGAGGTCGAGCGTTTCGAGCAGGTGCGCGGCTGGGTGCGGGCGAAGGATGAGCGCGTGGCGACATGGGCGGAGAAGTGCGCCAGGCTGCGTGAATGGGGACGAAAGCAGCGGGAGGGAAAAGAGGCTTCGGTTACCATCGACACGACTCGCTACAATCTCCCAACGTTTACGCCTCCGCCCGGGGCACAGAACGAGTGGTCGAGTTCCGACTTGACGATCTTCGCCTTCCTCCGCGACACGCTTGCCATCTCGCGTCTCCTTCAAGCGCAACCTCACCTCTCGACTGCTCCCGCCCTCGTCAAGCTCGTCGACCGCGAGTCCGCCCAGAACGGGTGGCCGTTCGATGAGACGAACACGCAGATTGACAAGGCGCGCATCCGCGACTTCCTCGGCGAGGTGGGCGTCGTCGCGCCATGGGAGGATTGGACTGTACACGACAAGGCGACGACGCTTCCGACGTGGGACAAGATCGGTTCAAGCGTTGCGCAACAGCTTTCCCAGGCTCCGAAAGACGGCGGGAACCCCAAGGCGCGGGTGGCGAGCAAGTTGTACGACTCGGACGCCCACGACTCGGTCCGCCACGACTTCGGACAGACTCGCGTCTTCACGATAGACGATTCGACGGCTCTCGAGCTGGACGACGGCGTTTCCATCGTCCCCGCACCTCCGACGAGCGACGGCAAGCAGACCTGCTGGGTCTGGGCGCACATCGCCGACCCGACCACGGTTCTCCCGCCCGAGCATCTCTGGGCGCAACTTGCTCGCGTCCGCGACCACACGGAGTACCTCCCGCAGCGAACTTGGCCTATGCTGCCGAAGGCCCTCGTTCTCGACCAGCACCTCAGTCTCGGCGCGAAGGAAGGCGGCGAGCAGCGGACTTTGAGCATCGGTGTGCGCGTCGTTGAAGAGACCGGCGAAGCGCTCGAGGTGGACGTCAAAGCCGGCATCGTTCGCAATGTCCTGCGGCTGACGTACGACGCAGTCGACAAGGTTCTCGGCTTCCAGGCAAGGCCGCCGGGGACGCTCGTCGCGAATCGGCCGTGGGAGCAGGGTGAGGAGGCTGCGCTGGCGAGCGCGAAGGTGGTTCGCCCGACGGAGGACGCCTTGCTGGAGACGGACGCGAAGGCTCGCGGACAACTCGAAACAATGCTCCGCATTGCCCAGCGCATGCTCCGCCGCCGAGTCGAGTCGACCGCCATCTTCTGGCAGTACCCTGTCGCCACGGTCAAGGTCGCCCCGACGCCTCTCGAGCCTCACTTCGAGTCAGAGGCGCGCGTCCCGACGTTCTATGCGCGGCCGCCTCGTGTCGAGGTGCGACTGCCGAGGGACGACAGCGTCTTGGACCACATGGAGTCGCCGGCGCATCTCCTCGTCTCGGAGATCATGGTCGCAGCGAATCGTGCTGGAGCGCGCTTCGCCGTCGAGAAGGGGATCCCCATGGTGTATCGCGGGCAAGGACCGCCTTTGTCGGAACCTGCCGCGATCGACGCCATCCTCAAGATGCGCAACCCCAAGACGGGCTCCGCACCGCCCTTTGAGGTCCTCAGGAAGCACGTCGACTTCCGGGCGGGCACACTCTCCCTCACGCCTGGATCGCACTGGCCCATGGGAATCCACGACGAGTTTGGGTACATCCGCGCGACGTCCCCTCTGCGTCGGTACGGCGACCTCTTCGCCCACTACCAGCTCAAGAGCGCTCTACTCCCGTCCGACACTCCTCAGGGCGTCTTCCCGTGCTTCGACGAGTCGGCCGTGCTCAAGCACATCAGCGGATTCACCTCGGCGCTCAAGGGTCGAAAGCGCCTCGACCACACCTCGTCGCTGTTTTGGTCGCTCTGGGTCTTCAAGCAGAAGCTCGAACTTTTCAAGGCGGCGACCACCGCGCCTCAGACCGTCGGCATAATTTCCGACGAGGACCAGCAACTCTTCGACCTTCTCGCCAACAACCTCACCGGACTCGCACTTCGCGAGGCGACTTTCAGTAGCGTCGACAACCTGTGGCTGCAGGAAGTCACCGTCCCCGAACTCGGTCTCCGTGGCACGGTCCAGATGGCGAAGGAGCACGAGACGCTGGCGCGCGGTGACTCGATGCCCGTCGTCATCGAAGACATCCTCCTCGGCGGCATGTCGCGTCTCATCCTCGTCCCTCGGCGTCGATAGACTTTCCACTCCCTTTCTCTCGCATCACTCGTTCTCTCGCACCTCTCCGACACCTCGCAACGATAGACCCGTGTACTTCTGTTGTATTCGCATCGAACCGCAATTCGCAAGTCATGATACATACCCTTGTGTTCTGTTTTTACGCCTTCTTCTGCGCTTTGAGAGCGGCGTCGACCATCTCGACGACCCGGATTACTGCCTCGTCCTCGCCGCGGCGCATGATGCACTGAAGGCCGATCGGCGCGTTCTTGAAGACCTCAGGGTCGTCTGCGAAGCGAGAGGGTCAGCTCGGCGCATCTCGCAGGGAAGAGCTGGACGCACAGCGCTCGTAGTTGATCTTGTCGAAGGGGTAGTCGCTGTGGAAGGTGTGGGCGGGCTGCTGCTTGTCGACGGAGGGGTCGACGCGAGTGACGGGGAAGACGGCGGTCGGCCAGTCGTTCAGGTTGCAGACACCCTGCGAGCGCACCAAAAGCGCGGTGAGCGGGAACTTGGGAAGGTCGGAGGAAAGGACGAGACGAACGGTGTAGCTGACATCCTGCTGGTCGTCATGCCTGAAGGACGGGTACGGCGACGTCGGCATAATGACAGCATCGACGGGACGACCAGTGCCGGTCTGCGATTCCGTCGCCTCCCACCTGCGAAAGCCAAAGTCAGCCTCGCAATCGGCCAGCGAAAAGAAAGGGAACGTACGCCTCGATCTGGGTCGCCATGAACAGCCTGCGCTCGTAGCAGAGCTGCCAGTACTGATAGACGCTGATGCGAGGGGGGTTCTCGGGCGGGCAGAGACCGTACATGCGCGGCTCGCCCGACCTGCCGCACTCAGTCTCGATGTCCTCGCCCGAGTCTGCGCCATAGACGCGGCTGAGGATGTCGAAGCACTTCTCAGGCTCGGGGAAGGACCAGTCGATGACTGTCGGTCCCAAGTCAGCGAGAGGATCGGATGCGAAAGGAGATAGCGCTTCGCACCCTTGTGTCCCTGCGTCTCGAGAGCCTTGCGAGTCATGTCCATCGCGCGATAGTAAGGCGGGTTGGGCTTGACGAGTCCGTTCGAGTAGGCGAAAGCGAAGCAGAGCTTCTCCTTGCCGCCACCGTGCGCCTCGAGCTGGTAGACTGACTCGCGCCAGGGCTGGTAGTGGACGAACGGGTCCTTGCGCCAGGGCTCGGCGGCGAGGACGGCTTTAGTGACAATTTGAAGGCCCTCAACCGAAGTCGTAAGCGGGCCGAGGACGGATGAGACTGCGAAGCGAAAGTCAGCGCTCGGCCGGCTTCGAGGCGGAGCTTCGGAGGCTCACCAGCTTCAAGACCTTGGCAGCTGTTGTCGGCTCCGCCATCTGTTCGTCCCAAAAAGAGCGGTCAGTTGAGCCAGGAGTCGGTTTGAAGGATTTGACGCGCAAGGCATGCGGTTGTACGAGCCACGAAGACCGTACAGCCCGTTGAACGACGACGGCACGCGAATCGAGCCTCCAATGTCGGATCCAAAGCCGAGGAGACTGCCGCGAAGGCCGACGAGCGCGCCTTCGCCGCCTGAACTGCCGCCACAGGAGAGATTGCGGTTGAAGCCGTTGACGGTTCTGCCGTAGATGGCGTTGATGCACTCGGTCGACATCAGGTTCTGCGGGATGTCTGCGAGTAGGGCGTCAGTGTGAGAACTGGGCAGGAAGCGGGACAGAATTCACTGGTCTGGCAGTAGAGAACGGCGCCCGAACGGACGAGGCAGTCGGCGAGGACGGAGTTCTTCTTCGGCACGCGGCCGATCCAGCCGACGTAGCCCTGCCACGGAGACGAATTGTCAGTCCTACGAGGGCAAACGCGAACGGAAAGGACGCTGACCATGTTCGATTCGACGCCTTCGACGCAGATCTGGTTCTTGAGCGAGATGGGGAAACCGCTGCAAGGCGCGCCTTCGTTAGCGACACCTCGACGTTCTCGAGAGTGTCCGAACGTACTGGAGAGGCCCAACAGGGCCACCCTCCTTGAACTCTTCGTCCAGTTCTTCCGCATGCTTGATTGCGCGGTCAAAGTAAACCTCCGTCAGGCAGTTGACGAGCGAGTGAGCGATCGCCGCGCGGTGGCAGAACGCTTTCTGCACTCGAGAGCGTCGTCAGCAGAGCGAAAGAGCCGAAGAACAGCTTATCGGACGCACTGCGACCTCGACAGCCTTCAGCTCGCCCTTCTGCAGCTTCTCGACGAGTTCGCCGACCTCCATGTTGGTGATCTGGACGTGCTTAGGGTCCATCACGCCGTCGAGCGAGATGGTAGACACATCGAGCGTCGACGAATCGACCTTGGGGAGGGCGTAGGCATACGAGTCGACCTGCTTCTTGAACGCCTCACGCTTGGCGTCTGCAGCAGACTTCCAGTCCTTCGAGTCGACAGAAGGCATCGTGTGAGCGAGTACAAGCGGATTGAGCAAATAGCGGAGTCGCGAGGGGACGAGAGAGATGAGGCGGAAGAAGGGCGGAGCGGGGCAAATGCCACCTCGTTTGCGGAGAGCGGAGACGGTAGCCCCGCGTTCAAGAGCACCGCTCGTGACCCGCACCGAAGCTATCTTGTCCGAGCGGACCGATGGCTCGTCGAGAAAACGAGAGCCCGTTCGCTGCGTTTCACTCGAGCGCGAGGGGACGCCAAGCGGGCGTCGCAGGAGTGGGACGCACAGTCAGCAGGCTTGCCGTGTCGGCTGCACAGCGGCAAGGCGGCACAGCGCGGCTACCACGCCCTTATCACGGTGAGCAGGTGAGCGGGTGGAGGTCAAGGAGGGTGCTTCCGGTTCGTCTCTGGTCGAGCGAGGCAGCGAGACCCGCGGGATTTACTAACTTAGTGGAACGATACTTTTGCATACGAGCGAGCTGGCACGGATATCGTGCGAGTGGGAGAGAGGAGAATCTAAGTGAGGAGAGGGAAGAGTGTCCGGAAAGAATGTCCATCCTGCCGAGAGTCAGAACCTGCTTCTACCGCCGCCAGTACACTCTCACGAGCCGTGCTGTACGTGCATCCGCCTACGCAATCTAGAGGGCCTTCTCGCGGCGCTTGAAGGTGACCTTCCGGGGCTTGGCGGGCATGACGATCATCGTCTGCGAGGCAACGAGCAATGTTAGCGGCCTGTCAGAACCGGACACTCCGGGCGAGTGCGCACCGTGTAGTCGTTGGCAGGGAAGTCCTGGTCGAGCGTCCAGGTGTTCTCGCGGACGAGCGTCGCGATGATCGTGCCAAGCTGGACGTTGGCGAACTGCTCGCCAATGCAGCTGCGAAGCGAACAAAGGGGCGTGGTCAGCGAGGCGGCCTAGCTGGTGGAGAGAGGGAAGAAGGCTCACCGATGCCGTCCGGCGCCGAAGGGGAGGTCTGCGCAGCAAGCAGTGTCAGGTTAGCGAGCATCCGTCGACCGAGCGCATCACAGCGACGCAGGGCGAGTGCGACCGCCACGAGTGGGAAGAGAGGGAAACGCCAGACGCACAAGCACTCTTTCCGCCCTTGGAGATCTTGCCCCAGCCATAGTCCTCCTCGCCCTCGTCCTCCTCGCCAGGCACCTTATTCCCGTCCTCCAACCACCGCTCGGCCCTAAACTCCTTTGCATCTTTGCCCCAAATACCCTCATCGACCTGGCTGTACCCGGGCGCAGCAAGGACGTACTCGCCCTTGGGGATGACGTACTCGGCGCCTTCGTTGCGCTTCTTGAACGACTCGCTCGCGTGCGGTTCGGCCGAGGGCGCACCGACGGAGGTAGGGACGGGACAGTCGAGGATGATCTTGCGCATGAGCGAGTGGAGGGGCGGGTGCATCCTCAGGAGTTCCTTGATGAATGCGCTCAAGAGCGGAGTCGAGAGCGTCTCGTACTCGAGCGGTCGGAGCTTCCCACTCTCCTTGTCGAGGTGGTACTCGAGCTGCTCCTCGTAAAGTCGTCGCTGGAGGTCTTGGTTCTCGCCAAGTCGGAGGATCGCCCATGCGCCGGTCGCGGCGGACGTGTGCTGGCCGGCCATGAGGAGGGCGATCATGATGTGCGCAATCTGCTTGTCGGTGAGAGGCTCGCCAGTCTTGTACTCCTGGTTCTGGAGGGCCGTGAGCATGTCGAGGTCCGGCTGGGGGCGACAAGGCAGGTCAGTCGCGGCAAGCTGAGCGGTTCCAGTGAGCTCGACGCACCTCCTCGGTCGAAGCACGGCGCTTCTCGAGGATCGAAATGTAGAACTCGCGCATCTTGGCCTGGGCGCGGTCGCGGCGGCGGTACGAGGGGAGCGGGAGGTTGGGGAATACAAAGTTCTATACGAGGTCGCGCTTCCATTAGCCAACGCTCTTCGAAATGCTCAGAGCGAAGGAAGAAAAGACAGCAACGCCGACGCACCAAAGGAGTGAATCCTCCGTCGAGGTCGTGGTACAGCTGGGCGAAGCTCTTGTCCATCGCGGCGCGGATTTCGCGGCCTTGGAGAGTCGCAGAAGCGGTGAGGACGGTGATTTCGGACGAGGTATCGAAGGCATCGATGCCGGGCGAGACGGTCTTGGTCTGCGAACGTCATCCGTCTTCAAATCAGCGCCCGAACAGCTTCTCCAACTGCAACGCCGCCGAGGAAGGACTCTTCGACTCACGCCCTCGGCATAGACGTGCTTCGACATGTAGTCGAGCACCTCCTGCCTGATCAACCCGACGTAGCGGCGGAAGTTTTCGGTCGTCAACCCAAACTTGACAAACTTCTTCTGCTCCATCAAGACATGGTTCGGGACGTCGTAGACGACCTCAGTACCGAAGACGCTGAGAAAACGAACGCAAGTCAGCGGGAGGAAAGGAAGGCAGAGGAAGGAGGGGGACGAACGGGGTGGTCAAGTGCGTGTAGGCCTCCTCGGCGTTGACGTGCGCGAGCTTGCCGTTCAGGACAAAGTTGCTACCGAGCGGGCCGAGGGTCGCGGTGATTTTGCGTCCGAGGAGAGGGTAGGTGAAGACGGGTCCGTACTGTCGGCGTCAACCGAAGCAGGTCAGCAAGCTGGAGGACATACATGCAGCCCACTGCCTCTCTGACGAGAAAGGCGAGCGGAGAGCAGCGCCCGAGCGAGCTGCTGCACGCACCTTCCGCCTGCACTCGTCGAGGAATCCGAGCGGGTCCATGCCGTAGCTGACGGCGCATCCGATGACGGGGACATAGTGGAACACGAGTGGTGGTCTCCTCGGGTCCCTCGGAGCGAGCTGCGTCCGTCCCAGGCGAGTGTGAGGGTCAGTAACGACGACGTGAGGTGAGCGAGCGAGATGGGGACGCACGAGCTGCCAGGCGACGTTGAGCGCGACGGCGAGGGCGAGCAAGCCTGCGAGGGCGAGTGCAGCAGTCCCAGCGTATGCGAGCAGGCCCATCCTCAGCCCAACGAACAGCAGCAGAACGACGAAGAGAGAAGAGAGAGAGCGAACCAAGTTCACGTCGAACCACGCTACGACAATGTCCGACAACAACCGCGCACGAGCCATTCCAAGGACTTCCTCGCACGGCTTGGCACTCTCGAATCATGCACACTCGCGAGCGAGCAACCGGAGCGAGGACGCGAGCTCAGGTCGGTGGAATAAATCGAACGACTGCTCATTTCGCCACTCCATCTCGCACCGCTGTACCTCCAAGACCAGCGCTCACACCCACTTCTTGTCACCCTTGAGCGCATCAACCTTGCCCTCGGCCTTCTTCTCGGCCCTGTCGACCTTGTCCCCAATAACCTCCCTCACCTCGCTCGCCTTCTGCTGCGCAGCAGCCGCAACATCAGACGCCTTGCTCTTGGCGTCGTGGACGATGTGAGAGACCTTGTCCGAGATGTGCGACGCAGCGGACGAGGCGGGGGAGGGGGAGGCAGAGGGAGGGGAAGGAGCGGGCGCGGGAGGGACGGCAGACGTTTGCGAGGGCGAGACGACGGACGCGAAGGGTGACGAGAGCTGGAACGGCGAGGCCTGCGTAGGATATCCTCTGTCAGCGATTACTCGGGAAGAGAAGCAAGCCCGCCCGCATCCCGCAGAACGCGGTCGCCTGCATCCTTCCGAAAGTCCGCCGTCAAGCAACGTACCTCCTTAACGCCCTGAATCTTGAACCCCGGTACCGCAGCAGGGTTGAAAACCCTCTCGCAGTCTGAGTAACCCTGTCCAAAGCCGAATCCAAGTCCAAGGAAGACCGGCCAGGGGCGACCTGTTCGCCTTTTCTCGTCAGCTCAAATGGGGGTAGAGGAATAGGAGGGGACGAACGGCGGAAGAGGACGGCGCTGGCGACGATTCCGACGGCTAGACCTGTGCCGGCTTTGACGAGCGCGTTCGAGAGGCAGAGGTCCGTCTATTCGGGGCGGCAAGCGGGACGCGGCGCGGCGAGCGCGTAGGTCGTGAAGTGGTAGAGAGTGCAGGAGATCCGGCGATGTGTCAGGTGCGTCAGGTGGTCGACAAGAGAAGGTCGCGAGTCGGGGTGGTCCGGATGACGGAGGGAGGGAGGTGAAGGGGGGACAACAAGAGCAGGGCGAAGGATGGCGAGTCGTGTGCAAGACATGCAGAGTGCAAACAGTCAGCTCAGCTCCTCCAGTTCCTCCCGCAACCCCTTCTCCCACCAAGCGACTCCTCATCACCCCCTCCTCCCTTTCCCTCTGTCCAATCCCCGCGATTACAACAAGCGGAGCGGACGCACCTTCGCAGACAAGACGTCCTCTGAGCGAGCTTGAGCGGGTGTCGCGGGCGCGGATGGGGCGGGTGCGGACATGGTCGGTGGGTGGGGAAGGAGAAGGGGTGGTCGAGGGAGAGGCGGAGAGGGGTTTGGTGGAAGGACGGGCTGGAGTTGCGGCGTAAGATGGACGACTGGTACTTGTGAGCGAATGTGGGCTAGGTCACACCACGACCTGCAGCTTGTGTGAAGAGCTGCTCGACCCTCCTGGCGAAGGCGAGCAGCAGGCAGCCTCTCTCACGTCAGGCAGCGCAACGAACTGTAAAGAAACAGCGAAAGAGCGTCCATTACTACCCGTCCTCCACTCCCAGTCTCATCCGCCAAAGCGAATGAGGGCAAGAGCCGAAGAGACGAGGTGAGGGACGGCGAGAAAGGCTACAAGACCGACGAAAAGGGTTACAGCTTGACTATACTTTGCTTTGATTTGACGTCGAGAAAGGAAAGAGAAAGGCGTAGAGTGCGCTGGTTGTCGAAGAATGTACAGGACGAGTTGAGGGCGGGCGATATTAGACGAGATAAGTTGTGGGTTTTGGGTTGCGAGTCCGGGTTTGAGCGATCGTCGATGTCGGTTGCTCGACGCCTCAGGCTGGTCGACCGAAACGCTTAGGCGAAGCAGGCGATCGCAGCGGCGACGGCGCCGAGGAGCGAGGCGGTCGGGACGAAGAGGTTGTTGCCGGCGCTCTGCGATGGTGGACAGACATGCTCATCAGTTTGGACACACCACAGGAAGACAAAAGCACAGGAAGGACGAACCTTGGCGCCACCCGTCGCAGCCGAAGCAGCTGATCCAGCCGCGCCGGTCGCAGTCGAGGCCGCACCTTTAGCGCCGCTCGTGATAGTCGAGAGGACACCACCCGCGCCAGAGGTGACGGTCGAGGCGGCTCCGCCAGCTCCCGAGGTGGCGGTCGACGCGGCACCGCCTGCGCCGGAAGTCGCGGTCGAGCCAGCTCCGCTCGCGCCCGACATGCCGGTCGATGCGGCGCCGCTCGCGCCGGACATGCCAGTCGAGGCAGCACCAGCAGCACCTGAGGTGGCCGACGAAGCTGTAGCGGATGTGGATGAGTTGCTCGGCAAATTTGCAAGAGATGGAAGAACGTACCGCCGGCTCCACCGGCCGCCGACGAGGCGCCGGAAGCCATAGACGAGCCGCCTGGTCGAGTGTTGGTGAGCGTGAGTGAGGAGAACTGGGTCGAGGAAGGGACAGCTGAACGCACTCATCGAAGCGCCCGAGCTAGCTCCGCCAGCTGCGGCGAGAGCACTCGAGAAGGATGCAGCTGCCGAGGCTGCGCGAGAAGAGATTCAGCCTGGTAGGCAGGAAGCAACGTCTGGAAGAACGCACCGGTCTCGGAGCCGGTGGAAACGGGAACCGACGAGAGGGTACGGAGGACATCGGTGGCCGAACCAGTGACTCCGGTTGAGGCTGTACGAAAGAAAGCGTGTCAGACCAAGAAGGGAACGAAGGAGGAGAGGTGGACGAACGGAGCGAAGCGCCGACGTTGGCGCAGACAGCCTGACCGAGCGTGATGCCGGTGGTGTAGTCGTTGCCGGTGCAGTGGTCGCCCAAGCAGTTCACGTAGGCCTGGACGAAGTTGGCGCTGCGGCAGAGTCCTGAGCACACGGGCGTTTCCGTCAGTTGAAGCCGAGGGGCTGCGAGAGGAGGTGAGCGAAGGCGTACCAGCAATGTCGGACGGCGAAACGCCGGGGGCGAGCGTGCTAGCCTCCATGACCTTGGTCGTGAAGCAGCGAGTCGCGCAGCCCTGCCAGACGCAAGTGGAAGGGTCAGACACTGCCTCGTCTTCACCGCATCCCGCTCGACCTCCCAGGAACGTACTGGGGCATTGGCGGGGAGCTGAGCGGCAGCAAGGCCAGCAAAGGCAGCGACGGAGACGATAGCGGCGGTGGTCTTCATGGCTGATGAACTTTGGGAAGGTCGAAGGGCGAGGAGGTGAAGTGGGCCTGCAAGTTGCTGGGACGACGCGGTAAAGCTCAGCGTGAGATACGGAGCTGTTTGAAGCTCTGTGTGCAAGCTTACAAGGCTGGCGAGTGAGGACTGAGTGAGAGGAAGCTGGCAAAGGGAACCCTTTCCTCCTCGAGCACAAGAAGAGCAAAGGGATCGCTGCGACAGGGGGGCAATGAAGTCATTCGCGAGCTCGCCTTTCCCTTTGAGGAGGGTTGAATTGGCTTCAGCCCTCGACCGCAGCGAGCCCGCAGCCTGTGAGGTTGTTTGAGCGTCCGCACGAAGTCGCGCAACGGAGAAGGGTTTTCCGCAGCAAGATGTTCGCCAGGCAGGGTTGTTGGACGCTCGCAGACTGCTTCACAGCGACGGACTTGACAAAGGAGAGTGCAGAAGGGGAAGCCGGACCAGGCGGAGCTCGACGAATAGCGTTGGAAGTCTATTTGCAAGGGAGAATCCGCCAAACTCGTTTCTACACGACGTCCTTTCCGTCCCGCGTCGTCGGGTCCATCGTCTTCCACGCCGAGAACACGCCCGTCATGCCGTCGTCCTCCTCGGGGTGCTTCGCATGGCGGCGGCGGATAAAGGCGCGCTTGGCGTACTTGTAGCCCTCGGCGAAGATCATGAAGATGCCTGTCGCGACGAAGGCCGGCGCCCACTGCCACGAGATGCTCTTGTGCTTGAAGACGACGTCGTTGATGACCGGGATGTAGACGAGCGGGAAGGGCGTGAGGAAGCCGCCGACGACCGACCAGAAGAGGATTTGGTTCGCCCAGACGTCGTGCAGCCACTGCGTGTAACGGCTGCAATGTGCGAAGACAGAGGGTCAGCGCTGCGTTCGGCAGTATTGTTGAGAGCCACGGAAAAGGAACGCACTGCTCAGGCGTGCGGTCCATCTTGAAGAGCGAGCGGCGCAAGTCCATACACTCGAAGGCAAGGAACAAGAGGATCCAGACCATCGTCGCAAACGTCGCCGAGCGAGCTTCGAAGACGAGCTGCGAGCCCGGGTTGCCCGAGATGTTGTTGTTCGAGTCGATGCCGAGGTCGCCGTTGCCCCAGTGGAACACGATCAAGGTAAAGACGCCGAGACAGCAGCCTGCGCCGACGAGGCCGTAGACGAGGATATCGATGATGATCTCGGGAGCGAAGACCCCCATCTTGAGCTGTGAAAGAGGCGGGGGAAGGGTCAGTACGGGGCAAGCGGCGGGCCGGGCGCAAGGATCCGGTACTCACGTTGTGCGGCTTGCGACGCATCTGCAGGAGGATTGGACGAGCGAAGAAGCGCGGCGGAACTTGTCAGCGTGCAAAAACGAGAGGAAGCGGCAAGGGAGACCCACGATGTCGACTTCAGCCTTCTCGGCTCCGAGACCCATCGCCGGCAGACTCGACGTGATCATGATGATCCACAGAATTTCGACGGGCGCGAGGGGGAAGACGGAGAAGTCGTTCTCGTCCTTGAAGGCGAGCCCGATGAGGAGCGTGAGCGCCTGCATGACGTTCCCGGCGAGGAGGTGGAGGACGAATTTGCGGATGTTGGCAAACATCCTGCGACCTTCTTCGACAGCAGCGAGGATCGAGGCGAAGTTGTCGTCGGCGAGAACGATGTCGCTCGCGTCCTTCGCGACATCCGACCCGCTGCCGATTCCAACGCCGACGTCGGCGCGCTTGAGCGAAGGACTGTCATTGACGCCATCGCCAGTCATTGCGCAGAATGCCTTGCGACGGTGAAGCGCCTCGATCATGCGGACCTTGGTGTGAGGAGCGCAGCGGGCGATGACGAGCGGGAGGAGGGGAAGCTTGTCGACCTCGTCGTCCGAGAGCTTGTCGAACCTGCGGAAAACAGCGTGAGCAACGTGGCGAGACGAAGGAGAGGAAGCTGTACGCACTCGGCGGCAGTCATGACCATCGCCTTTGCCGAGTCCTTCGATATCAAGTTGACGTTGCGCGGGAGGATGCCGACCTGAAGCGCGATGGCCCTCGCAGTCGCAGCGTGGTCGCCCGTAAGCATGTGAACCTGGATGCCTGCCTCGTGGCACATGCGGACGGATCCCTTCGTCTCGGGACGAGGGGGGTCGTAGATTCCGACAAGTCCGTAGAGGGTCATGTCGGTCTCGATCTGTGCGCGGTCGGGGTTGCCGGACGAGCTGGAAGCGCCGGACCAGGGCTTGGCGGCGAGAGCGAGGACGCGGAGGCCTTGCTCGGCGAGGGCTTCGACGTTGGCGAAGATCTCCTCCTTGATCGAGTCGTCGATAGGGGCCGGTCCGTCTTCGAGCTGAATTTGCGAGCAAGCGTCGATGAGACGCTCGACGGCGCCCTTCATGAAGGCGAACTGCTTCCTGCGGGCAAAGGCGAGTCAGCGAGGAGATGGAGACTAGGGTAGGCGAGACGCACTCCTTGCGGGCATAGAGGACACTCATGCGCTTGACATCAGAGTCGAAAGGGTACTCGGCGACTTGAGCTGCGAGATAAGGCGAGTCAGCTCAGCAACTTTACCGATACCGAGAACCGCGAACTCACTCCACTCCGGCGATTCGCCCTCAATCCACCTCTCCCTTCCCCACCCAAACCGATGCGCAAAAGTCTGGATGGCGCACTCGGTCGGGTCTCCCCTTGCCGTCCATCCCTCGCCCTCCTTCTTGAATACCTTGGCGGTACTGCACATGCTGGCGATGTTGAGAAGCGTCGATAGTTCTGAACCGCCTTTCTCGAGAAGTGCGTCGGGGGTGGTTGGTTCGGCTGTTGCAGGAGGCGGAGCAGATTCGGAGGAGGGAGAGGAGGCCGCAGGCTTGTCGGCTTGGTCGGCGGATTTGGCGGGCGAAGAGGGGGAGAAGGAGAGTTGCGCGATGGTAGGATTGAATGGCTCGTTCGACTCGCCGACGCTGATTGTGCCGCGAGAAGGAAGCCAGGCGGCGCGGACAACCATCTTGCCTGCGAGCGAGCGGGACGGTCAGTGATTTCGGACTCGAAAATCGTCAAGAGGCAGACGCACCCTGTGTGAGCGTGCCCGTCTTGTCGGAGCAGATGTTAGTGACGGCTCCGAGCGCCTCCAGGGAGTCGAGCTTCCGGACAATGACATGGCGCGCGACCATCGCGCGCGTTCCGCCGGCGAGGGTGATGGTCAGGACGACGACGAGCGAGGCGGGGATCATCGAGAGGGCAGTCGCGATGGCATAGAGGATAATCTCCTTGTTGCCGCGGAACGAGTTGGCGGCGAAACAAAAGAGGGCGAAGAGGCATCCGATGAAGAAGAGGGCGATGGCGAGCCACGAGAGCGTGCGCTGGAGTGGCGTGCCGGTGTTGACTCCGAGGAACTGACCGATGATGTCGATCGTCGTGAGCGCCCAGGCGGCAGGGTAGCGGTGCCACGGAGCGTGGCCGTCGTCGTTCCTGCGGACCTTGCGGACCTTTGAGTCGCCTCCGCGCAAGGACTGGGCAATTGCGCCAATCGAGGTGTTCATACCGATGCCGACGACGATGCCCTTCGCGCGGCCCTTCGTGACGGTGCTCGAGGAGTAGGCCATCGTGATGCGGTCTCCGACGCCGATGTCGCGCGGGTCAAAGTCGCTGGCCTTGGCTTCTTCAGCCCAGCTAGCGTTGGCGTCCTTGGCGACGGGGAGCGACTCGCCAGTAAGGAGCGCCTCGTCCGTCTCGAAGTTGACGGTCTCGACGAGGCGAAGGTCGGCGGGGATGGTGTCGCCTGTCTTGACTTCGATGATGTCGCCGACGACGACTTCGGGGGAGGGAATGGTGACGATCTTGGAGTTGCGGATGACGTGCGCGTTGGGCGAGGCGAGCGAGCGGAGCGAGTCCATCGTTTTGGCGGACGAGTACTCCTGGACGAAACCGACGCCAACGTTGATGAGGATAACTGCGGCGATAACGCCGCCTTCGATCCAGCTCTGAATGCCGAAAGAGACGGCCAAGCAGGCGACGAGAACGAGGACCATGGCGTCTACGGGGAGAGCCTTGTCAGCGGAAGTCGTCAAGCGTGTGAGAGCGGAACGCACTAAAGACCTGTCCCGCAAGGATAGACCAAATTGACACTCCTCCGCCGCCCATCAGCTCGTTCGGCCCGTCGCGCTTCTGCCTCGCCGTCGCCTCGTTGGCGGTGAGGCCGTCGTCGATGCTGGTCTCAAGGCGTGAGGCGACATCTTTGGGAGGGAGGAGGAACCAGTGAGTTTCGGCTGCAGTCGCGCCCGAGAGAGTCTTGGAGAGCTGCTTCTCCTTGTCGAATGCTGCTGGTGAGGATGAAGGCATCAAACGGCGCGAGTTGGAGTGAGGAGAACGGGATCAAGCTGTGACGGCGCTGCTGGGCTTGGAAGCAGATAGCGGCGGATGCCAAGACCGACTCGACGACGACGCCGAGGGAACGGTGAGCATGCCCCCGTCCAGCCGAGAGGTGAGCAGCTCTTGGGTGCGAGGCGAGTTGAGCGAGGTAGCGCTACATCCACACGGTGTGCGAGGGTCGGGGTTGCGCGAGTGTGTTCCTGTGCTCGAGCTAGCATATCAGTGGCCTTGTGTCAGCCTGCGAGCGAGTGCATCGCTTGAGGAAGCGGGTCGAGGACGAGGAGGACGTGTCTCGGCGCGGACTCGGCCAAGTTCCGCTCTCGACTGAACTTACCCGCTCCGTAAGACTGACTGTCGCCCGGTTGCGAGGGAACGACGGGTTGCTGCTATTCTTGACGACGACGCAAGACCACGTTCAGACGAGTTGAGCGAGGACAACTCGACGGAGCGGAACAGGCGGAACAAGTTCCTCCGCTTCTCCGTCTTGCTGTCCTGTCTGGGTGGCAAACGACAGCGGGTTGCAATGGAGCGCACAAACAACAGGCGTACAGCGAAGTCGACTTTGGCGAGGTATCGAAGAGACTTACAACGAACTCACTTGCCCGCCTCCGCCAGCTTGAGCGCATCCGCGTTCGACACGGCCCACACCTTGTGCTGGCCCTTCAGAACCTCCTCCTTGCCGTACTCCTTGACGACCGGACTGCCGACTGCTGCATTGACGAGCGAGCGGCCGAGCGTGTCGGTGCCGATCCAGAGGGTGGATTTGCCGAACGGGAGGTGAGGAATCGTCTTGCTGTGGGAGCGTGAAGGGTTCCGTCAGTAACGATGTCTTAGGCGGACCTCATAAGCGAGCTCGGATTTTACGCGCTGCACGAAAGTCGAGGCGAGCGAGCGGCGCTTCGGAAAGGAGGAAAGGAAGGCTCCTCGACTCACACAGCCAGCAACTCGGCAAAGCGATGCTCTCCACGCCCGCCAGGCGCAACGAGCAAGCCAGGGCGGAAGATGATGGTGGAAGCGTATCCGAGCGAGGCGAGGCCTTCTTCCGTCAGGCCTTTCGAGCGGGGGTAGAGCAACCAAGCGCTCGAGTTTGCCGAGGTGGACTGCAAGAACCGTCTCGTCAGTTTGCACACGTTGAGGTAGAGGCAATGGGAGACGCTGCGACGCACCGAGACGTAAACGACCCGCTGATCCGGCTTGTCCTCCCTCCTCGCCGCCCTCGCCGCACTCAACACATACTCCCTATCGATCCTCTCGAACGCTTCCGCACTCCCCGCACTAGCCCTCGTCGTCCCAAGCGCAATCAACACGCTGTCCGCCTCTGCCGAACGCAACTTGCTCGTCTCGGGTCCGCCTGCCGAGCCTTCTTTCAACAGCGCGTCAAAGTCGAGCGAGGAATGGGTGAGCTTGGAGGATGGAGTGGAGGGGTCGAGCGTTGGGGCGCGCCGGCCGAACGTGAGAACATGCGAGACGCGGGAGTCGGCGAGGGCGGCGGACAGAGCTTGCTTCCCCGTCTCGCCGGTCGCACCGAGGAGCAAGAGGCGGTGTTGGGTGGTCATTACGCAGGTAGACAAAAGTTCTGGCGAGTCGTGTGGACCTAGCGAGTGGCGAGAGCGGGTCAGTGTCGTTCAACTGATGAGAATGGCGGGAGGATGGGCGAGGAGGGCTCACGGCGCGGGAGATGGGCAGAGCAGTCCCAGCGAGTTCACAGCGGTTCGAGAGCGTGTTTGAGCGTCAAAGCAGCCCAATCAAGCGAGTGCGAGCGTGGGAGAGCGGTCCAAGGTGGTCCTCATCGGGAGCGTGACACCTTCACCCTCGACAGTTCACCCTGCTCCGCTCATTGCTGGCCTGGCAGACTGCAGAGTATGCGCACAGAGCTACTGCGCTGCTGCACTGGCCAACTCCCGCAAACGGGATCAGCGTCTCCCCGCTCTTCTCCCCTTCCGCCATGCTCCCGAAGCCTGCCGCATCGGTCCTCTTGCACGAGCGAGGGCTATATCGGCCAGACGAGTGTCGACCCTACGCGCGTGGTCGTGCTGCGTAACCCAAGACGGTCGGGATGGATGCGGGCCCCTTGCAGCCTGTGCGAAGGAGCTGTGCGTCCCCGGTGCGAGGAGGACGAGGGAGGATGGACGCGGGACTGCGATGGCGGAGAGCGGAGGGTTCCGAAGGACAGCTTGCATGGGCTTTGAGTTTGCTCTCCGCCTACGGACGTGCGCGATGCCCTACACCCCGCCTGGCTCGACTTTGGCTGCGGCGTCCGTCGACAGGCTCCCACAACAGCCGGCGACGTTCACGCAGCGACACCGACGCCACTTGGACGACGTCGATGCAGCTCGACCAGCCTCATCGTGCGAACGGCGCTTCCTCTTCGCCGTCGATGGCCGTCGCTTCGGTCCCTCCTTGAGCCCGTCCAGCCGTGCGGCTATCGACCGCGCTTAGGACGTAAATGACCGTTCGATGAGCCATCGCTGGCATTTCAACTGTCCAGCGCCATCACAATGGTCGGTGCTGTCCGTAGGAGATGCCACGCTGTCGCCTGCCGCTTTCGGCCGACGTGGAGCCGGTCGACCAGGATACCGCTTGTTCTTTCGCGGCTCTTCCTTCCTCTTCCAAACGAATGCTGTCGACTTCGGCAAGGTCCCGATCAGTCCGCAGAACAGAGCGATCCCTTCCGAACGCCACGACCGCCGTCGAGCGCGCTAAGGACTGCTCGACTTCCTCATTTCTATGAGCACGCTTCAACGCTCACGATGAGCGAACGGACACGTTCCGTGACGAATTCACAGTTGCCCACTCCAAGTTTACGTATCGGAGCTCAGAGCGCCGGCCAGAGGGCACCCTCGATTTTGCCCAACAACTCTCGACGCTTCTCTCCCTCTCTCCTTCTCCTCCTTCACTCGCTCGCCAGTCTTCGCACTCGCTACAAACTCTTCTCGACACCGTCAACCTCCCCGCGCAGTCTCACACACCGCCAAAATGAAGATCTCCTTCGCCATCGTTATCGCTGCCCTCGTTGGCTCCGTTGCTGCCGCCCGTGCGTTCCTCCGCTTGTCACCCACCGCCTTCGCAATGACACTGACCCCTCGCGCAGCCGCTCTCGACGCCCGCGCCGAGAAGGTCAATGCTATCAAGCAGATGCGCTCGTACGTCGACCTCGAGGCTCGCGGTCCCCCGGGTGGCCACCCTGAGCACCAGAAGAACGGTGGACCCCCGGGCGAGCACGGAGAGCACAACAGCGAAGGCAACGGCCGCGGATGGGGCAAGGGCGGAAGGCCCGGAAACCCTGGTGCGTTCCCCGTCCTCGCTGTCGATTGTCGGAGATCTCGATGCTGACTTGTGTGTCCATTCTAGGGCACCACGGCGGCGAGTACAAGAACGACCCGAACAACTGCGGAGAGGAGGGCAACGTCTGCCCCCCGTCGTACAACGGCGTTGGACAGCCCATCTGCGTCAAGGGACAGTGCGCTCTCCGTGCGTCTTTTCCCTCGCGGCTCCTCCCTCACGCTCACTGACAGCCATCGTCGCTCGCAGAGTGCCCGCCCGGCACCCGCCAGTTCTCGACCAACAGCCAGTACGCCTCCGCCTTCTGCGCTTGAGCAAAAAGCCAGGCGACTCGCCGCATACCGGACAGTCTTTCCCGCCCTTCGCTTTCTCCCTTGTGAATATTGTCACCACTCTTGGCTAGATTCGTATCGCCGTGCGTTCGTGCTTTAGACGCCGCAATGCCACACTCTCGTTTGCTGTTGTCCGCACAACTTCTGCAGCACGAGCGAAGTCAGCCTGCCCTCCTCACGACCGCTCTCCTTCTTCTCCCACCTTGCTCGCTTGCTCGACTTACCACGAGCGGCTTGCTACAGCTATGGCGTACGACCTGCTAGACAAAGCGGCTGGCAGTACGCCCGGCGAACTCGATGCGAGCCACTTGTACGGCCTGCTCGACCGACTCAGTGCAGCCATGTTCACGCGCCTGTACGCCTCGCCTGCGAGCTGCCTGTCCATCTTTCGGTGCGTACAGCTCTCTTGCTACACCGGCATCCTACCCGACTGACCCCTCGTGCCGTCCTCGTAACGCTCCCCACTTCATCACCGCTCTCGACGAATCATGATCAGGCTCCTCCCCGTCACTTCGCGGCACATCGTGCTGAACATGCTCTGGTACGAAGAGGTCGTGCGAGTGCGGGACGTGGCGCTCTGGGTCCGGGAGCGGAAGAGTGAGGGTGGAGACAAGGGCGAGCGGAGGTCGGTACCGGTTCCTTGCTTCGCGGGTGAAGAACAGCTCATGTTGACGGTCTATCGTGCACACAGACATCTGTCCTCCTCGCTTTCGGCGCTCGCGCGACTACACATCATCACGCCTCGAAGCTCCCGACCTTCCGACACCTCGAAAGAGGAGACGGAGCTGGAGATGAACCCGGGTTTCCGGGACAGCTTTCGCATGGCGCTAACAGGAGGGTGCGTGTCGTGCTCGGCTACCATCGGAGGAGCAGGACGAGGGCTGATCAAACGGCTTCGTCCTCGCGCAGCGGCAAGCAAGGCTCGTTTGGCGCACCGGCTCTCGAGCAGGACGAGGAGGTCACGGCGCAGTTCTTGGATGAACACGCCGAGGTGCAGTGGGAGGTGCGTCCACGCATGGAAGGGCTCCTCGACGTGCTGGTGAGCTGACGAGCTCCGTCTCGCTCGCAGACAATCCAGCACTTCATGGTCGCATCGGACGCAGGCGCAAAGAAGCCAGGCGAGAAGGTTCTGAGTCTGCTCGAGCGGAGTGGCTTGATGTACTCGCCGTGAGTTCGCCTATCCCGCCTGGAAAGTCGCCCACGTTGACGGTCTTCGACCCGCAGGACCCGCTCGCTCCGCAACATGCGCATCACGTCGAAGGGCTTCCAGTTTCTGCTTGAAGACGTCAATACGCAACTGTGGGACTTGCTGCTGGTGTACTTGGAGGAGTCGCAGGTGAGCCCTCATTTAGCTGCCCTTGTCGCGGTATCGCTGAAGACGTTCGGCAACGTCCAGGACCTTGTCGAAACCATCGGCTTTCTCTTCATGCTGGGATCGCTCGAGCTGGGTCGGGTACGCAATACCTTACTTCGTCTCGTGAAGGCCGGAGCTGACTTCGCTTCTCCCGCAGGCCTACATGACCGACAACCTCTCGCAGATCCAGCACGGCGTCTTGCGAGATCTGGCAGACTACGGACTCGTCTACTTGCCAGACGTGCGTTTGTTTCGATTCTCGCCACTCACCTCATTCGGCTGACCCTGAGCGCCGAACGGTCCCGCAGCGCAACGCACCCATCTTCTACCCGACCCGCCTCGCCACCACTCTCACCTCCTCCGCTCCTCCACTCGTCTCCTCGCGCCACTCGAACGAAGAAAAGGGCTTCATCGTCCTCGAGACCAACTACAAGCTCTACGCGTACACCTCGAATCCGCTTCAGATCGCCGTCCTTGGGCTGTTTGCGCACCTCAAGACCCGCTTTGCCAACTTTGTGACGGGTCACATCACGCGGGAGAGTATCCGCCGAGGACTGGCGAACGGGATCACGGCGAATCAGGTGCGTCGCCTCTCAGCCATTCGCAGTGCCACTCGCTGAAGCCTGCCCGCCCGCAGATCATCTCGTACCTCGCCTCTCGCGCACACCCTCAAATGCGCGCCCAAGCAGGTTCGGACGACAAACTCCTCCCCATCACCGTCGTCGACCAGATCCGTCTATGGGAGCACGAGCGGCGGCGGATCCAGACGACCGAAGGCTACCTCTACGAAGAGTTCTCGTCGACGCACGACTATGAACTGGTCGTCAACTATGCGAGGGAGATCGGTGCGGTGTTGTTGGAGTTGCCGAAGGCGAGAAAGGTGTTCGTGACGGCGGACGGGCATCAACAGGTTCGGTGAGTTCTGCTCTCAACCCCATCCGCAGCCCAGAGTTCCAGACTGACACTCTACTTCTCTCAGCGAGTTCATCAAGCGACGAATGGCGGCGGCGCAGGCGGAAGCGCAGGCGATGGAGGGGCAGGAGCCGGCGTAGGGAGAGCGGACGACGTCTTTCAGCTCGGATCAAGTGTACTGCTCACCGTGTTGCTTGTATCATTCGCAATGATGTCTCCCTGTCCAGCTTGAAGCGATTCCTGCGGCAATTGCGAGACACCTTCATCGAGCTCAGCGCAAGTTGGCGGAGACGGTTCACTCGACATCCGCTCTTGGTGTCTGCTGTTGCTCGGTTTGGTGTGCTGGACGAGGCAGCACACACGCTCCAGCACCTCTCACACTGCCGCTCTCGCCCTTTGCGCGGTCGGCGTGGCTCTGGCCAGCGCTCCGACCCATCCTGTCGACTCCGTCGCCGACTCAGGCAGCGCTCACGTTCGTGCGCTCGTACCACGGCAGGAAACGGAGGAAACAGCACCTCATGCGGTTCAAGTTGCCTGACGAGCTCGTCGGCAAGTTCTACGAGAGTGAGTCGCCGCTTCCGCCTCTGCACGCGAGATGGGAGGTCGTCCGAATGTAGCTGATCGTGGGATTTCCTGCCTCGCAGTCGACGAGCAAGGGGTTGTGGCCAAGATGAACGCCGATCCGCCAGCCAAAGTCCGCCGTCTCGACTTCCGCGAGGACAAGTCTCGAGGAGGGGAAGCGGCATCGCAGGCTCCGCGCAAGCGGGAGCGAAGGCCAAAGGAGAAGCATGGCCGATTGAGCGAATCATTCGCCACCCACCTGTCTGCACGACTTGCCGACTCCCTCACACCGACTCCTTCCACCTCCGCCTCCTCCACACCCACCGCAACTCCGCCTACCTCCCTCGAACCCACGCCCGAACCTTCCGATTTCTTCGACGTACCCGATCCAGTCTACCCTCCGGACTTTCCCGTACCGCCAAAGCTGCAAGATCCGGACGCCCGCGCAATCGCAGACGCCAAATCTGTCGCCCTTGCACGGATGCACCTCGAGTCTTTGCGCTCTGCGTTCGAGCATGCAGCGAGAACGGGCGATGCGGCGTTCGTTGCGCTCGATGTCGAGTTCTGGGAGCGGGATTACGATGTTCTTCTGGAGTTTGGCTGGACGGTTCTCGACTTCCAGAAGGACGAGGAGACGGGCGAGATCCACCCGCATAGGGAGGACCAGAACATCCGTGAGTTGTGGAAGTCTCTCTCTCCCCGCTGAACCGTAGCTGACCCTCCCGTTCCAGTCGTCCGCGACAACATGCACCGCAAGAACAGCAAATACGTTTCGGATAGGCGACACGTACGTCTCATGCTGACCTTTCGCGAGCTCCGTTCACTCATGCGCTCCTCCCGCAGCTCTTCCAATTCGGCCGCTCTCTTGTCTACGACCAGCGGAAAATTGCCACCCTCCTCCAAGGCATGCTCGCCAACTACGCCACCAGCAAAACCCTCTACCTCATCTTTCACGACCCGAACATGGACCTCAAAGCGCTGCACCAGCTCGGCTTTGACGTCCAGAACGACTTTGCGTACGACTTGCGCAAGTTGGGTTCCGGGAGCGAGGAGGGAAAGTGTTGGGTTGTTGATACGCAGACGCTGTTTGCGGGTTGGATGGCGAGGAAGTGTCAGGTTGGATTGCTGCAGGCGTGCGAGCAGGTCGAGATCAAGCCGAAGGCGCTGCACAACGCCGGAAACGATGCGCATTGTGCGTTTACCCTCTCTCCTGTTCCCTCACCTGCTCCGTTGACGTTCGATGCGCGTCTACAGATACCCTCGAGCTCTTCGAGAAGCTCATGGACCGCTCCGCTATGCCCAGCGCATCGTCCAAACTCGTCGCAACCCTCGACAACCGCATGCGCCACCGACTATTGGCGCGCAAGGCGAAGGACGAGATGAAGGCGCTCAAGGCGCAAGGAGCGCGCATGCTCGAGATCGCAGAGCTTCGGCAACTGCGCAAGACTATTGAGCCGTCGCGTTAGATTCCGGTCACGTTGTTCGTTCGTTCACCCTTGTTGTCGTTTTCCTAGCTTTTTCCCTCGCACTCGCAACCCATCGCAATCGCATTATGATCCGTTACTCATCGATACAGACGACATGGACAGAGAGAAATAGATAGTTCTACAAAGCGGTCTAAACCAGCTCCGCCTCCAGCTCAACGCCCGAATCCTCATCCTGCGCGGTCTTGAGACCAGCGGCCTTCCTCGCGACCGTCGTCAAAGCGTCGACGAGCGAATCCTTGGCATCCTGGAGAACGGCCTGCTCGTCGAGCGCATCTTCGTCGTCGCTCGAATCGTCGTCGGGCGTGAGCTGGGCCTTCAGCGAGTCGTGGCCAAGCAGGCGGCGGATGGTGAGTGCTCGTGCGTGCAAAGCGGCGTCCGGCTGGGCCTTCGACGACGAGGCGGCTTGGCGGCGCACGAGGAGCCAAGAGAGGACGATGGTCGCGAGGAGGTCGACATCGGAAGTAGGCTCGGTCGGAGGCGACTTGGGCAAGAAGGTGGACAAGTCGATGCCGTTCGAGACGGCTGGCGCGAGGAGCTGGAAGAAAGGCGATGTGCAGGCAAGTCGAGCGAACGGTCCTTCGCGCTTCGTCTCGAGCGCGAGGCGGGCGAGGAGCTCCCGTGCTTGCGAGAGGTCGACGCCTGCCTTCGCGGACAAGCCGGCGCGGTAGCAGGCGAGGAAGACCTTGGCCATGCTCGCCAAGGCGTGTACCTCCGAGCCGTCAACGGTGGTGCGGTAGATCACGTCGAGCGTGTCTTCGAGCTCGATGACGGCTGCGGCTGCTGTCAAACTCGGCGCGGAAGTCGTCGAATCGCCGACGACGACGAGGACCTGCCGCCAGACCTCCTCAAGGGCGTCCTGGCAAGTCGCCTCGGCGAGGGCGAGAAGCGGCACCGTGTTGCTCGGCTCGGCCAAATCCGCATCGTCCTTGGCCGCCCGAGTCGCCGGCGACAAGAGCAGCTGAACAGTCTCGAAGTCGTGATTGAGCGCGACGTCGATAAAGGAGCTGCCAGTCGACTCGCGCTTCTTCTGCCTGTCGAGCATGCGCGACCAGGTCTTCTTCGCGCCGCCGACGTGACCAAGTGCGAGAAGGTGGATCGCGATCAGGCCATCGATGGCGGCGCGAGAGGTTGTGGGTGTGACGGAAGGCCAAGACGGAGAGCGGGAGAGGTTGGACAGGCGGAGGAAGGTGTAGCAGCGCGCGAGGTAAGGTAGTCGGCCGCCTGCCCCGAAGAAAGCGTTAGCACATGACAGAACGGTGAGTATATGAGTGAACGTACCGACGCTCGCCTCGATCTCCGCAATCCGTACCCAAGCAACAGCCTCCTCGACATCCTCATGCCCATCATCCCTTCCCCAAGTCAAACCCGTCGCCCTCCTGATCGCCCACACGACAGCCTCCTTCGCAATCGAGAACGGCAAGGCGACCGCTCGTGGTGCACCGACGAAGCGGAGCAGTTCTCGACGAGCGTCGAGGGCGGACTTGCGTGCTGCGCCGGCGGTAAGAGGGGTGGACAATGACGTTGCTGCTGAGCTCAGCGCCGACAGGGCGGCTACCGCTTGTGCTCGACGACGCGTGCGGGGCGGCAATGCGGGCTGAGAAGAGGAAGTGAAGAAGAGCGGGTAGAGCAGATAGGCGAGAGCGACGAGGATCGACGCGGCCCCGAGGGTGGCGAGACCGCTGAGGAGGGACGGGTGAACGTGGTCAATGGCGGAAGCCGGCGCAGACGGGTCGGTCGGGACGCCGCGTCGAACAAGTCCGCCCGCCCAGGCGCCGACCGTCTCCTCGGCGACTGCGGCAGTCGTCGCAAGGTCGTACCCGATCCCGCCGGCGAAGCTCGCGCCCATGAACGAGGCGAGGAGGACGCGTCCGCCGTTGCCTGACTGACCGTTCTGCAGTGCGGCGGGCGAGACGGCGAGTTCGTCGCCTGACGAGACGGGCGAAGGCGGGAAGGTGTGCCGGCCAGTCAGACCACTCTGCTGTTGCTGAGCAAGCGACTCGATGTGCGCCGCGTTGAGCGCCTGGACGCGGCTGTACTCGGACGTCAAAGGCGGCGCGAGGCCCGACGAGGCAGACGACTTGGCCTTCTTCGACGCAGCTGGTCCATCCGCTTTCCGGCCGCGCTTCGTGCCGGCGGTCGACGTCGCCGTAGCCGCTTTCCTACCCTTCGCAGGCGGCGCAACAACCTCCTCTTCCTCTTCCTCCTCCTCGCCCGTCCCCTCCTCCGCCTCTTCATCCTCTTCGCGCTGCCTCCTCCTCGCCTCCTCACGGACCTTCTCATTCTCCGCCCTCCTCCTCTCCCACTCCTCCACCAGCCCCTCCCCACCTCCAACCATACTCCTCACCATCTCCTTCAAAAGCTCAATATCGTCGTTCAACCCGTCCCGCGTCGAGCGGAGAAAGTCGATGTATTCGATCGCTTTGGTGAGGATAATACCCTTCGAGAGGGTCTTGGCTGCGGGCACGCCGTCGATTAGGCCTTCGGGGGTCTCGGGGACGGCGGCGGAGGCGAGCGTGAATTGCGAGGCGCGGCGACGGGAGGTGGGCATCTGCGGGCGGAAGTGGGTCAGTATCGCGCATGCACCGTACGACTAGAGGGCGCACGGAGGGCAGAGGCTTGAGGTGGCGCAAGGCGGGGATCGTATCGCGAAGAGTCGCAAGCGCATTATTGATGCTGTTGCGGTACTTCTGCTCGACCGCGTCTACTCCGCCCCTGAGTCAGCACACACTCTTCACGAAAAGCGCAAAGGGACGCACTGTGCCCCCTCTCAGACTTCTTCCCACCCTTCTTCCCCGCCGGCCCTCCCTTCCCGCCTTTCTCCTCCCCCTCGTCCTGCTGCTCCTGCGCATTCGCTCCTCGTCGGCCTCCCTTCCCAGCAGCGGTAGAACGCGAAGAGGCGGCGGGGCGGTCGAAGGAGATGTGGCTGAGGAGTTGGAGCGGGGCTGCGCGGTGAAACCGACAAATTAGCGAGACGTTGGTGAAGAGGCGAGGGATGATACGCACGAGCTTGGTGGACGTTGTTCTGCAACCCTGCGTTGACGATCACGTCCATTGGACTGGCACTGCGAGTGGGCTTCTGCTGCACCTGCACCGCCTGAGGCGGGACAGGCAGCGAAGCAGAGACAGGGACACGCTGCTGCTGGCGATTGACGATCGTCCGTCCCTGCGCATGTTGTGCGAGTACAGCGAGTGTCGCAGGGTCTTGTTGGAGGGAGAACAAGGTTCCTGCGCGAGGAGCGGCGGTAGGTTGGATGGGAGGGACGGAGACGCCTGCTGTTGCTGCTAGGGAGGAGAGCGGTCGCTGAGCTTGTTGAACTTGTTGTTTGATTGCTGTGAGAGAGGGGTAGAGCGAGGGAGGCGAGGAGGAGGAGGGCAAGGATGAGGGCGAGCCGAAGTCGACCGAGATGCGCTGCTGGGAAGGGGAGGACCCGGCTGACTCGAATGCGAGCTGGGCGTGATCGAGTGCGTATACGGGTGCGTCGCCTGGTTGCGAGAGCGAGACGGTCGGGATCGAGTACGAGGGAGGGGAGAAGGCCGACGACGGCGACAAGAAGGATGCGCCTGTCTGCGCACCGCCCTGCTGCGTCACTGGCTCGCCAAAGAGCGACTGCAATGCGCTCGTGTCAAAGTCGCACGCGAGGTTCGACAAGTCCGCTCCGAACGAGAACGGCGGCGAGTGGCCAAACACGGCGTCGACGTCCTGTCCTGCGCTCGTGTTGCCCGTGACAGCGCTCGAGAAACTGTAGTTGGAGACGTTGTAGGGCGAGCTGCCTGCGTCTGAGCGCCCGTACGACGATGTCCCGCTCGAGCCAGCCGCTCCCTCGAACGCTGCCAGCGACCCTCCGTCGAAGCCCAGGTCGACTCCAGCTCCACCCATCCCACCCTGCAGTCCGATGTCAGTCCCGTGTGCATGTCCCATCGAGTCCTGTGCGAGAAAGTCGTCGAGCGAGGGGTCGAACGACTGGTCGGTGAACGAGTCGTCGGCGGCTGCGAGCCAGTCTGCGGGCAGCCCGCCGTCTGTGCCGTACGAGCTGTCTGCCATTGTAGCAGTTGCTATCGGACACAAACGAGCGATAACCAGCGAAGAGAGCGAGCAGGCGAACAGCAACTCTCCGGAAGCCGGCGTCGAACGATGTCGCGCATCGCCCCATCTTGCCGTGTCTCGCCATTTCCGTGCAGTCGTAAAAGCGACGAAGACCCCTTGGAACTGTATGTACCGCTTGTATTTGCATCGAGTTATGTGTTACTGTGGCGGGACTGGGCGAAGGGGCTCCTCAAGGCGCCTCCCAGCCCTCCGTGTTGCGGAGCAGCTTGTAGAAGAACCGGATGCCGTTCAGGTGCGCGTCGATGTGGATGCTGGTGGAGAGAGGCGAGTCAGTATCGCTTCTGGATCGAAGAGCGCCAGAACACAGCGGCGAGGAGCGAGGTTCCGGGCTTGGAAGCGAGCGACTGCTAACTTACCGCTCGTCGACCGTGTGGAAGTCCTTAATGAGCTTGAGTGAGGCTGGAACGAAGCGGTAGATGTTGCGCGTCAAAGGCCACGAGTACTGCAGGGGCGAATGGGGAGTCAGCGCGAGATTACGGATGCCGCGGGAGCGCTTCGCCCGTACCTTCGTGTCGGTGTTGGCTGCAGGCGAGGAACGGCATCTCGACGATGGTCAGCAACAGCGTTTCTTGACCACCGGGAGCCGGTGAACCGCCAAACTCACCAACCATCCCGCTCGGTCCGACAATCGCGTCCTTCCAGACATGCCTCGTCGTACCAGCCATCAGCTCCCAGGCCTTGCCCTCCGTCGGCGTAATCGGCGCCGGCTCAATCTCACTCCCCTCAATCACCTGCAGCCGGACGACATCGTTCTCAACGTCCGAGTGCGAGCCGTAGGCGTCGAAGGTGAGGTTGAACCGCTTGACTGTCGGTGCAAGGATGGAAGAGAGGCGAGAGAGAGTCGCGTTGACGGAGGAGAGGAAGTCGATGCGGTAGTTGATCGAGGCCGAGGCGTACTCGGGCAAGGCGTTGCTGCGGCGACAGAACGTCAGCTCGTCGACTTGGAGGGAACCAGTAGCTGGACATACATCTTGACGCCGCCATGGATGAGGTCCGTAGCCTGAGTCGTGCTCAAATACGCCCGCTTGATGTCGTCCTCCTCCGCCATCTCCCTCCCTAGCTTCTTCCACTGCTTCGGGTCCTTGACGCGCCCCCTCCACTTCTTATCGACCTCGCCATACTCCGCAGCACACATCAGCTCGCCTAACAACGGGTTCCTCTCCCTCAATCGCGGCACATCCGGGTGTTCCTCCAAAACCGAGACGAGTTTCGCCAGGATCCCGATTCCGGTGTGACCACGACGGGGAACGCTCGCGTGTCCTCCGGGGGTCAAGACGTCCAGTTTGATCGAGACTGCGCCCTTTTCGGCGGTCCCGAAGCGCGCGAACGTCCGGCCGTAGGCTTCGTCGACGCCCGTGAATCCCTCGTCGAGTACCCAGGCGATCCCGTCCTTCCCGTAACGCTCTTCGAGAGTCGAGGCGAGATATTTGGCGGAGCGGGAGCCACCAATCTCTTCGTCAAAGCCGGACGAGAGTATGACCGTGCGAGTCGGCTCGTGCCCTTCCTCGATGAGCTTGTCGAGCGCGCCAAAGATGCCGATCAGCGTGTTCTTGCAGTCGGCCGTGCCGCGCTGTATCCTTGATCGTAAGCGAGTGTGCCTCGATGAAGCGGAGAGCGACGACTCACGCCCCAGATCCAGCCTTTCTCATCGAGGTGAGCGTCGAAGGGCGGGTACGTCCACCTATCCTCCGTCACCGCCGGGACCGGCACCGTATCTTGATGTGCCATCAACACAACCGGCTTCAAGCCCTCGTCCTTGCCCTTCCACGTGAGGAGCAAACCGTACTTCTGCACCTTCTCGACCTGCACAGTCGAGTAGACCCGCGGGAAGGTCGATTCGAGGTAGGTGTGCAAATTGCCGAATGGTTCGAAGCGAGGGTCTTCGGGACCGGCCATGTCGTCGAAGGACTCGGTGCGCTGGAGAGAGTGAAGGATGCGTGAGTGTCGAAGAGAAGCGAGACCAGCGAGGTGACGCACGATGCGGACCGCCCCTTGCAGGCGCTCCGTCGCAAGCTTCTTGTACTCGTCGTCCTGCTCTGGCAGCCAGTCGGGGCCGACATTCAGCGGGTCCACCTGTGTGGGGCAAGAAGCGCCCTTGGCGAGACGAGCGAGTTCATGGCGGCAGGGATGGCCGACAGGGAACGCGGCGAGAGCGTCGGTGGGAGACGATATCCAGAAGGCTACGGGAAGCAGCAGGGCGAGCGCAGCGACGCGGCGGGAGAGGGTGGACGAGGTGCGAGTCGTCTCGAGCGACGAGGGGGCGGGTGCCGTCAGCGGGAGCGACTCTTCCTTGCCCACTGCGCCTCTTATGGTCAGTTCGAGGCTCTGCAGAATCTCGCCGGGCACGCACTCGTCTTTCTGGGTCGTGGACGAGGAAGAGGGGCTGCCGCACTTGCCGACGGTTGCCAGAACTCGTCGGCCGGCCTCAGGATGACAAGAATGGGGTTCCTTGACCAAAGCAAAATCCCTACGAAGACCAGCCGGAGCTTCCGAGTGCGAGAGAATTCAGTGAAAGCGGATTTCTCGCTTGGATGCGGTCCTTCGCAAGCTGCAACCGTGGCCAGCGTCACGCGCCGATATGAAGTAATACGTACAGTAGTGCCGGCATCTGGTACTCCGCTCTAGAAGACTGAACCCAACAGACCGTCTTGCTCCGCTACAGCTCGCACCTTCCTTACAGCGGTTTCCGCTCACGGCGCCTCCCAACCCTCCAGATTCTGGATGAGCTTGTAGTAGAACCGTATCGTGCTCATATGAGCGTCGACGTGGAGACTGCAGCGGGGAACAAGCTGGGTCAGCGATAGCGGAGCAAGGTCGAAGCGGAGAAGAGGAAAGCGCACCGCTCATCGACCGTGTGCAAGTTCAGCGCCAGCGAGAGCGAGCACGGCACGAAGCGGAAGATGTTGCGCGTGAGGTTCCAGCAATGCTGCGCGAGCGAAGGACATGAGTTCGCCTTCAGCAACGGCAGGACAATACGGAAGCTACCTTCGTGTCGGTGCCGCCTGTGCGAGGGGAGGCGGTTAGTCAGCATCGCTCAACGTGGCAGACGAGGCGGGAAGACGCACCGATCATGCCGCTCGGCGTAACGACCGCGCCCTCCCAGATGTGCCTCGTTGTACCGGCCATCAGCTTCCACGCCGGACCCGTTGCAGGGGTCAGCGGCGCCGGCTCATGCGCAGTAGTTGGCAAGACGTTGAAGCGGACGACGTTGTTGTCGATGTTGGCATGTGAGCCGAGGACGTCGAAGGTCAAGTTGAACGAGTCGACGGTTGGTCGGAGGACGGTGATAAGCCGCTCAAGGGTCGCGTTGACGGAGGAGAGGAAGTTGATGCGGTAGTTGGCGGAAGCGGTCGCAAACTCGGGTAGGGCGTTACTGCAGAGTCCAGCGAAGTCAGCAGGTTCCGACCCGCAACAGCACGAGCCGCACGCACATCTTGACACCTCCGTGAATGAGGTCGACAGCCTGCGTCGTGCCGATGAAAGCGCGAATGATGTTGTCCTTTGCCGACATCTGCCTGCTCAAAGCTTCCCAGCGACTCGGGTCCCGCACGCTCGCCTTCAAAGCCGGCGGTAGTTGTCCGTAGTCGGCTGCGCACTGCAGCTCCGTCAAGAGCGGACTGCCCTCGCGCATGATGGGCGGCTCGGGGTTCTCCTCGAGCGTCGTCACGAGCTTGGCGAGGATGCCTATGCTGGTATGAGGGCCGAGCGGGACGCTGCTGTGCCCTCCTGGCGTCAAGACGTCGAGCTTGATGGAGACAGCGCCCTTCTCCGCGATGCCGAGCCGAGCGAGAGTCAGGCCGTAGGCTTGGTCGATGGCCGAGATGCCTTCGTCAAGGATGAAGGCGACTCCATCGCGGCCGTATCGCTCTTCGAGTCGTTCAGCGATATATTTCGCCGAGCGTGTCCCGCCAATCTCTTCGTCGGCGCCGGAGGAGATGATCAGGGTTCGTGTAGGCTTGTGGCCGTCCTCGAGGAGCTTCTCGAAAGCGGAGAGCGCGCCGAGGAGCGTGTTCTTGCAGTCGGTCGTGCCCCGCTGGTGAGGCGGAATCGTCAGCTCGCTAAACTGCGCAATATAGGCCAATAGAGCCACGCACGCCCCAGATCCATCCGTGCTCGTCGAGGTGAGCGGAGAAAGGCGGGTGCGTCCACCTGCTCGCCGTCACAGCGTCGACAGGCACGACGTCTTGATGCGCCATGAGCACGACCGGCTTCAAGCTCGGGTCGGAGCCTTGCCAGGTGATGAGGAGGCCGTGCCGGCGAACCTTTTCGACCTGGAGAGAGGCAAAGACGCGCGGGTACGACGCTTCGAGGAGCGAGTGCAGCTCGAGGAAGATCTCAAAGCGCGGGTCTTCTGGACCGCCCATGTCGTCAAACGCCTCGGTGCGCTGTGATCGCGAGAGAGTCAGGGAGGAAACGGAGGAAACGGAGGAATGGAACGCACGAATCGCACCGCATCTCGCAGCCGCTCCACCGCTTGCTGCTCGTACGCCGCGTCATCTTCAGGATGCCAGTCTGCGCCCACGTTCAGCGGGTTGACCTGTGCAGGACAGCGAGCTGCTTCCGGGATAACGGCGGCGGGCTGCGCGACAGGCGTGGTCGGCAGCGGAGTCGGCGCAGATGAGGAGGGATAGTACAGCCAGAGCGCGACGGGTAGCAGAACAGCAAGCACAGCGTAACGAAGCGGAAAGGCGGAGGCCTCGGCAGTCGAGTTCTTCGGCGCCTTGGTGGGGCCCGGCGAAGAAGATGGCTTCGGCACTGCTCGAAGGGAACGGTCAGCTATCGCACCGTCTAGATCGGCGGAAGCACTCACTCGTCAAGCTGGGCGAGCGCTCGAAGGATAGAAGAGGTCAGCGGACCGCTTCGGGTAGCCAAGCAGGATTCCCATGAGGAGCCGGCGATCCGCAGAACTCCGCAAAACCTTGTCCGCGCAGAACGACGAACGGACGAACGCGAACATGTTGCTGCTGGAAGTGCTGATAGATGGACAAGAAGGATATAGACGATACGGAGGTATATGTGCTGTGCGAAAGATGAGGGGTATCGAAAAGAGGGCGCCGGAAGGCGGAGGAGGCCGTTGACCTACGCTGCGTCTAGCCGGACTGGCCGGTACGGACGACCTTCGAGCGGATGAAGAGGGTCGAGTAGAGGTGCTGGTCGCCCATTGAGTCGTAGAGGGGGAGATGGCGGTAGCCTGCCGGGTCAAACGGTGAGTAGGCGCCAAGCCGGCGCATCGACGGGTCGCATACGCACCAGGCATGAGCGCGCCGACGCCGATGGTGTAGGCGCCGACAGCATCTCCCTTCCCCTCCTCCATCGCCGCCTTGGGATTTCCCTTGGCATTGAGCACCTCGAAGCGGACGAAGACGAGGTCGAGCATGCCGGGGGAGGGATGCGACGAGAAGGTGAAAGAGAAGCGGGATGCGGATGCCGTCGTCCCGGTCGAGGATGAGTGCGAGCGGAAAGTCGGGTTGAAGGCGTTGCCGCTGAGTATTGGCGAGTCAGCGAGTGTCAGGGGAGAGATCAGGTCCAAACGCACAGGACGACAGGTGTGCGACGCTTCTGAGGCGTGGCGACCCCGGGGACGAAGAGGCTGACTTCGACGAACGGGTCGAGGTTCATCGGCTCCACGTCGGTGCCCGATCCGCGAGGACGAGGGAGCTGCTGCGCCGAGATAACCTGTCGACGATGCGCGTCAGCGGGAAGACTTTCCATGAGCATAGGAAGGCTCACCTCGACCTCCAGGCGATACTTCTCAGAGCGGAGCGCGGCGATCTTGTCCTTCTCCTCGCCCTTCTTGCGCAGGAAGTCTGGCTTGAGCACGTAGCCGCAACGGCCGGCACGAGCGAACATGGCGAGGTTGAGCTCCATGCCGACATCTGCGCTAGGTGAGTCAGCGGCAGTAGGCGAAGCGAGAAGCGGCGGACGCACCGAAAGTCTGCCAGTTGAGCGCGACGAGCTGGACGCCGGCCGCCCACATGTGGTGCGGTGCAAAGTTGCTGCTTGTCAGACGGCTCCCTCGAGGATATGCTCGAGTAAGGTGTCCTCGGTTGTGGGCCACAAAGTCCTGTCGAGCCGCCTCGTCTCGCAACATCTTGGTGAGTCGGCTCTCGCCGAGCGAGATGACGTGCGTCGCGGCGTATTTCTCCTTCTTGTTGAAGCCTCGCGCTTTGACGCCGATCGTGTACACGAGGAGATTGGCGAGAGCCTGCGACATGGCCATGTCCTTCGGGTTCGTTGGCAAGGCTGGCGGCGACAGCAGCGGCGCTCCCATGGCCGGCGGTGAGACCGAGAGCTCGTTCTCCGTGATGCGCGACGGAGAGACACCGGGTGAAGCGGCCCTCGGAACTGGTGTCGCGCCGAATGACGAACGAGAGCTGTGGGAGCGGAGGATGGAGGGCCGAGTGGCGCCGCTGTCGCTGCTGCGGAACTGGCGGATAGCTCGGTAGACTGGGGAGTGAATCATTAGCTGGCGAAGCAGAGAGAGAATCGGGAGCGTCGGCGCACACTTGCTGTTCTTGAAGTCGCCATCAGAGCTCGACTGCGAGGACTGCTCGCTGGAAGACGAGTCGTCGCCGCTCGGGACGAGCTTGACGGGGAACCCGTTGTCATTGGAAGTCGTGATGAACTTGTTCTTCGCCTGCGAAGCGGAAGGTAAGCTTGGATGGGCCGAATGCTCCAGGACCTCGACTCACCTTGAGCAGAAACTTTCCCTTGAGATCTGCGGGACTCGGCAACCGTTCGATGTCCTTGTCCGCCTCCATCTCGTCAAGCCGCCGACTGACGAGCTTGTCGCCGAGTGTCTCGTTCAGGATCGCCGCGAGCTTATCCTGCTGGTCAAGCTCGCAGTGCACCTCGACGGAGAGAATGACGGGATAGGGCGAGGCGAGGAAGGCGTATTGAGCTATCGCTTGGAGAACGTTGCGAACCGGGATCTTCGTCGTGAGCGTGTGGCCGTGCGTGACGGCTGGCTCGCCGTCGTCTCCGTCCCAAACGTCGACTGCGGGATGAAATATGTCAGGTCAGGTTCTGCAGAGGGGCGCTCGTCGGCGGGACGTACGCTCGACGCTCCGGCAGCCCTGCTGCAGCGCACGAATATACCCTTCGACCGTACTCTGACCTTGGAATTGGCTGCCGATCAGGTAGGTCTGCGAGCAATTCCGTATCAGCTAAGGAAACAGAGCGACGTATCGAGCGCACGCACGTTATGGCTCGAACTGATGAAGTATTCGGGCAGAGGTCGCGTCATGTCCTGCCTTGACTCGTCCTTGATAGCAGCGTTGTCGGACGACATGAGGAAGGAGACGAAGCCGTCGAGCGTGACGGTCTTCGTCGCGGCGTCGGCGTACCTGAGGAAGCCCCGCGAGATGGCGAGGTCGTCCAGCTTGACCTGCGGAACGCCGTGCGTGAGTGACGAGACTAAGCAACAGGTGCGGGGAGACTCACCCCTTGGACGTCACGCAGGAAGGTCGACCAAGCCTTCTCGTCCAGGCCGTCCTGTCCCTGCGGCACCTGCTGCAAGAAGACCTCCTCGATGTCCGCGCGTCGTTTCAAGAGCTTGACGAATGTCTGGAAGGCCTTGAAGTCGAGAAAGTCGTTCGGGCTGGCGGACGTCTGACGACCTTGGGTCAGTCTTCGGCCAGTCTGGAGAAAGTAAGCGGAGACGTACTCGAAACGCCTCGCTGATCTCTGAGCTGCTCATTCCCATCCCGAGACGCGCACAAAGCTGGTGCACTTCCGTCTCGCGCACCACGCGGTCCTGCTCGTCCGTAGCCTGCTCAGCCTCACCCTCCTCATGCGAGATGCCCTTCGCCAGTCGACCCTCCTTGAATCCCTCGAGCGTCTTCTGCAAGATGTCGAGGTCGTGCGGCGACAAGGCAATGAAGTGTGCTAGTTTGTAGGTCGGACCGCCCGTGACTGAGCCGAGGAAGCGGGACGAGGCTGGAGCTGCATAGATGATGGTTGCCCAGCGAGGCTCGACCGAAGGTGGGAGGTGAAGGGACGTGCGGTACGGCGAGCCAGCTGCTGCAAAACGGAGGTCGCGGACACGGGAGAGCGGGACGGAAGCGTATGTGGGCGTCCGAGCGAAACCTGTAGGACAAGGAGTGAGCAGAGCGAGACGAAACGCAGGACGAGCATGCGTACCGAGACCCGCCCCATTCTTCTCCCAGCACAACCGCACATCCTGACCGCCAACAACCCCGATCCCGACCTCAAGTCCCATCTCTCCATCCTCCGGCGTCTCGCTCGCCAACTCAAGCCAAACCCGTCTCGGCTTGACCCGCCGCGCACTCTTCGCCGAGACCTTCAGCATCTCCATACCGGGCCTGACGAGCTGGGCGGGGATCTCAAAAGTTGCGAATTGGCGGGAGAAGGACGAGCGAGGGGTGATAGGAGGAGGCGGTGTCGGCACAACGGGTGTTTGTGAGTCGGCGGGACCCGTTGGAGGCAGGACAGCCACACTGTTGGGACTTTTGGGCTGTAACAGCGCTGCCTGAAGCGGCGCTGCGCCCGCCTGAGCCCTCATCGCTCCACCTGTACCTTCATCAGTCGGGAGAGGAGGGGAGGATGGGTAGGAAAGAGGAGGGTTCGATGGGTGTTCAGGGTCCATCTCGCCAGTTTTTCAGGGTCCAGTAGTAGCGTCCGAGCCCTCAGGACAGCATCTCAGCGGTGTAGCGAGCGGTGGAGGATCAACCTCTCCTTCGGGACCTCGCTCGCCTCCTCGCCTTCCGCTTCTCACAGGCTCTCGCGCAAACTCCTTGTGGACTGCTCGAGACTGCTAGTTGCTCTATGTACGCTGTGAAACTACATCCAGGCGGCCGCTCACGCCGAGAAGTGGCCGACGCCCTCCTGGCCGACCACCTTCTTGATGACCTCGACACCGGTGTTGAAGAAGTTGTCGATGAGCTGCGCGAAGCAATTAAGTCAGCAGAGACAGGAGCGGCCATGGAGGAATCGGGACGCACCTCCTGATCGGTCGCCTCGCTGGAAGGCTTGCCCTCCTGCGAATCGGACAACGTCAGCTGCGCTCGAGCCGGGGAAACGGAAGGAGCGAACCTGCGCGGGGTCGGTAAAGTATTCTCCGTTCTTGTAGCCGCCAGTGCGCGCCTCAGCCGACGTCGCAGCCCAAAGGACGGAAAGAGCTCCCTCGTCAGGCGCGCGCATGAGCGGCCGGACTGCAGCCTGGATTGCGCCACCGACAGCGTCGCCGTACGCCTCGTTGTACTGACGAGTCTGGCCCGTTGCGACGGCTCCCGGATGGGTCGAGTAAGCGAGGATCTTCGAAGGAGGCTGGAGGTAGCGCTGGACGAGGGCTTTGGCGATCAGAGTCTGCCCGACCTTCGAGCGCGCATACAGGTTCGCCGGTCCGACGTCCTTGGCAAATTCGCCGGCGTCGCGGAACTTGTTGCCGCCCCAGTTCTCGCTCGGTCCGCCAAAGGTGTTGCGGTGGAGTTCGGAGGACATGAGCACGATGCGGACGTCGGCGTCGGGGTGAGCGCGTGACGTCTTCTCAAGGTTGGGGAGGAGATAGGAGAGGAGGAGGATGTGGGAAAGGCAGTTGACGGTCAAGTGGGCGTCGTAGCCGTCGGCGGTCAAGGTGAACTTGTTGACGCCGAGTCCGGCGATGCCGAGGAACCCGTCGAGCCTGTCGTACTTCTCGGCGAGTTCCTTGCCGACGTTGGAGACGGCCTTGAGGTCCTTGAAGTCGACGACGCGCGACGAGACCTCCCCACTCTGGTTTCCTCCGTCCGCAGAGTTGTCCGTGTAGTCTCCGACGATGCCCGCGAATCCGTCCTGGTAGTCCTTCGGCGCACGCTTCAAGTCACCTGTCTTGATGTACTCCTCAGCCGCATCAGCGGTTCCCTCCTGCGAGCCGAGGATCACAACTTCTGCGCCGTGAGAGTAGAGCGTGCGAGCGGCGGACAAGCCGATGCCGTTCGTGCTGTTCCAGGTGTACAGTACGGGTTATCCACATCCCTGACCCTTGTCGAGGTGAAACGAGACACACCCGCCGGTTACGATGAAGCGCTTGCCGACGAGTTGCGGGACGTTGGCCTGAGCAAAGTGGAATCCGAATAGCTTTCCGACGACGTGAGACATGCTGTAGTGGGTGGTAGGAAGCGAAGAAGTTGAGCAACGAGAGCAAGCGACGACTTCGCCCAGCACCGCCTCGTCAACTTCGTCACCGCAACTCGCGGACAGCGAAATCGGTGAAACTGGGAGCACAGCAGGCTTATTCAGCGATCTTGTAGATCGAAGGACAGGCAGACAGCAGGGCGGGAGGAGGAGGACGACGAGCGAACGTCCAGCGACCCCAACTTGCGAAGGTCAGCCGCAAGTCATTCGTACTGTCTCTCAACTACCCGCCAGACCCCTGCACCGACGGCCAACGTCAATGCTCGACGCTTGCGTATGCCTGTACCGACCCCGCAACCGATACCGATCGTTGAGCCCGTCGACGTCGCGTCTCTCTCTTCCTCAGCACTCAGCAAATACGCCAGCTACGATCAACCATGAGCAACATCGTCGCTTCTTTCCAGCGCAGCAAGTTTGACCAGACCAAGGTGCCCGACTTGAGCGGCAAGGTCTACGTTCTGACGGGAGGGTGCGTCTTCCTTGCGCCTCCAACTCCCTCGACCATCTGCTCACTCGTTCTCGGCTCACAGCACCAACGGCATCGGTCTCTCTGTCTCGCGCACCCTCTTCAAGCGAGGCGGACGTGTCATCCTCCTCGGTTCGAAGCAGGAGACGGGCGACGCCGCTTGCGAGTACATCAAGACCGGCGACCTCGACAAGGCTCCGCACGACTACAAAGAAGGGTTCGGAGCTCAGCGTGACAACAGCGCGAACGGGGCGACGAAGGATGGACAGGTCGAATGGAGGCACATGGAGGGCGCGGATCTGAAAGAGGTTGCGGATGTTGCGAAGACGCTTGCGGGAGAACTGGACAGGCTTGACGGGTTCCTGGCGATCGCTGGACTCGGTGTGAACGCGTTCGAGCTCACGAAGGACGGCTACGAGTGCGTTGTCTTCGATTCTTCTCCTGCGAATCCGTTTCAATTGACTAGCTTTCGCCTTTTTCGCCTTGCAGCTCGCACCTTACCATCAACTGCCTCACGCACATCCTCCTCCTCTCGCAGCTCCTTCCCATCCTTGAAAAGACCTCCCGCAACAACCCCGACGCCGACGTCCGCTTCATCTCGATGGCGAGCGAGATGCACCGATTCACGTTCGGCGGACCGAGCGAGAAGTGGGGCGGGAGTAGGTTTGCGACGGAGGAGGAGTTTAAGAAGGATGTTGGGCCGAGCAACCTTTACGCAAGGTACGTCTCGCTGTCCTCCTTCGCCGTGCTCCGCGCTGATTCGTCCCGTTGCAGGACCAAGCTCGGCAACATCTTGACTGTGAAGGTGCGCTGTCGCACCCTCCGTCAACGTAGCCAAAGCTGACCTTCTTCCGCAGGCTCTCGTCGACAAATACCTCCAGCCGCCCTCAAGGTCCTGGCCTACGCTGTACACCCAGGCGGCGTCGCCACAGGCCAAAATGACCAAGTCAAGCCCGCATATGGCGAAACGATCGGCAAAGTCGTCGAGAGGCTCGTGAGGCCGATCCTGCGCGCCCCGGACGATGGAGCCTTGTCGACGCTTTGGGCTGCGACGGCGCCCGAAGCGAGGAGCGGGGAGTTTGAGAACGGGAGCTATTATACGGATCCGGCTGAGCCGGGCAAGGAGACGAGCGAGGCGACCGACCCGGAGGTGCGTTCCGCCTTCCCCGTCGTCCCTCCGCCAGCGTCCGCTTACGAATCTCTGCGCAGCTCATCAACAATTTCTGGAAGACGTCGCTCTCGATTCTGGAGAAGGTTGTCGGGAAGGAGAACGTCGGGCCTTTCAAGGGTTAAGCGTTGTCGCTCGCCTCTCCTGTCTGTTAGGTGCGCGTCGCAAGGCAGGACATGTACATAGCACGAATGTAACGAGTCGTGACAAAGGAGTGATACAGTTTGAAGGGCGGTGTGTGATACGTAGCGGATGATTCGAGTGCGTCTGTGGCTGGACGAAGTGAAGATACTGCTCGACTTCGGGTAGGACACACCGCTGTAGCTGGCATTCTGCGGACGCTCTGTGCAGGAGGCCAGCTCACGCCTTCTCCTGGGTGACAGGCGCCGGCAACTCCTCCCTCCTGTCCTCCTCCTCGTCAAGCCTCACCCTCCCCTCCCTCATCTCACGCCACATGCGGACAACTTCCCTCCCAACAAGCGCCATCATAACGAGCTTCGTGAACGTCCAAGCAAGGTCGAAGAAGCTGTTGTCGCGGAAAGCGAAGAAGGCGTGGCGAGCGGTTGAGAAGAACGAGTGACGATGGTGCTTCTTGCCCTTGTGGCGGTGGTGGTGCGGCTCGTGCTCATGCTCGTCGTGCTCGAGTCGGTGGTGCTTGTGCGGACGACCGGGAGGGAAGCCATCTTCCTCTCCGCGCCGGGGCGGAGGTCCAGGATGGCGCTCACGGTCGTGCGGGGGAGGACCAGGCGGACGACGCCCGAACGGAGGGGGAGGCGGCGGACGGCGGCCCATGCGGGGAGGAGGCGGGAAGGGCATGTCGCGGTCGGGAGGAGGAGATGGATGAGGGAAACGGTACTCCGGATTATCAGGGAAGTCAGGACGGTGGCGGTCGTGCTTATCCTTCGGAGGGCCGCGGGAAGGGCGCGGAAATGGGCGGTCGTTGCGCTCGGGAGGCGGAGGGAACGCCTCGAAGTCCGGGTCGGCGAGGTCGGTGAGCGTTGCGTCGAAGTCGTGCGTGTCAGGCTTGAAGTCTTCGTAGGGAATGTAAGCAAAGTCCTTGTCGACGTCGATGTCCTCGGGGTCGGCCGCTTCGGCGACGAGAGCAGTGAGGTCCTCGTCAAAGTCCATGTCGTCCGCCTCAGCAGCGTCGGGCGAGTCCTCGGGGTTCATTGCCTCAGCAACGAGCGGCAACTGCGAGTGCGACTCGGTCATCGCAGCGGCAGCAGCTTCGAGCTTGAGAATCTCGATGATGTCGTTGAGCGCCTCCTCCTGCTCGGCCAACTTGCGCTCGACGACGGGCTGCTTCTGTGCGTCGGCGTTGTCGTACGGCGGGACGGCAGTAGCGAGGGTGGAATCCCCAAGGTGTGGCGAGGCGGCGAGAGCTGCGCACAAGCGGAGTTAGCGAACAGCTCGTTATGCAGTTCGTCGAGCACGGCGCCGGCTTACCCAGCGAAGAGAGCAGCAGGCAGGCTGCGACTGCCCTCATGGTGTCGGCGAGACTGGTGCGACAGGCGAAGGGGTCGTTGAGGAGAAGAGAGCTGCGCATGGGGAGGTGAGCGGCGCAGGAGGTCAGCGGGATGTCGGCAAGGCGCCAGCGACTCTGCATCGTCGAGAACATACCTTGTCGCGGTGTTCGAGTGTGAAGAGAAGGAGAAAGAGCGACAGCGGGAGACAAACGACGGCGATTCCGTCGCTGCGCACTGCGCAGAACCGACAGGAGCAAGCCGACGCCCGCAGAACGACGCCAGGCTCGACATCGCCTCCAGCTCATGCCACAGCAAGTCATAGCAGCACCCGCGCAGTCTCCATCGCCTCGTCTCCCGTTCCAGCGATTCTCATCAAGTCGACGAGGAAGAGGAGGTGGGGAAAGAAGAACAGGACATCCGATCGTGCGGCGTCTAGCTGGGTACTCTTTAGCATAGTGCTCGATGCTCGTGAGCGCCAGCACAACCGTCCCGAGCGAGGTTAACCGGTAGTGTCGAGTTGCCGGTCCAAGAGGATCGCTCGCACTCGTCTCCACCTCTCCTCACCCCGCTGTGCTCTTGCTGCTGCTTGTTACGTCTTTAGAGACCGCTGTACAACCGCCACAGCTACTCGAACCGCCTGCCCTTGTCCCCGCTCTCTCAGCTTCGCTCCCCACCGCCTCCCCACCATGTTCGTCTTAACACCCTTGCGCACCCCCAGACGGCTTACTGACGATGCACGGACTCGCAGGAAGGCATACGTCATCGAGAAGTACATCAAGCCGGAGGAGCTGCCGTCTCGGTTGGTCGAGTGGGAGGAACCGAAGCCGGGCGAGGACGAGGTCTTGGTGGATGTGCATTACGCAGGGTTGAACTGTGAGTGAAGGCTTCCTCCGTACCAGCGCGTCAGAAGCTGAACGGGCGCGCTGACCCTGCTTGAACGCGCAGTCTTCGACAGTACGTACCGGCACACTCTTGCTTCTTCCCGCTTGTCCTAATGCTTCTTCGTTTTCCACAGTCTTGCAAGTGCAGGGCAAGTACCAGAACAAGCCTCCATTCCCCTGGATCGCGTGAGTTGAACTCACTAGCCTCTCAACAGGGCACAGTACAAACTCATTTGCTCCCATTCCTGCAGCGGCGTCGAGTTCTCCGGCGTCATCTCCGCCAACTCCCCCATTCCCGAAGGCTGCGACTTCATCCCAGGCAAGACGCGCGTCTTCGGCGCCGGCCAAGGCTCCTACGCCGAGAAGATCAAGATCGACTGGCGGACTTTGCTCGAGGTCCCTTCGACGATGGGTATGGACGAGGCGGCGGGACTGTACATCACGTTCCCGACGTCGTATGCGGCGCTTGTGACGCGCGCGAATACGCAGGAGGACGACTGGGTGCTTGTGCACGCTGCCGCTGGAGGAGGTGCGTTCCGTCGACACTTCTCCCTTCTCGCTCTTCGGCACTCACTCTTCTTTTTCCTGACCTTGGGTCCGTGTCGCAGTCGGCCTCGCCGCCGTCCAGATCGCCAAAGCGCTCGGAGCGAAAGTCATTGCAACCGCAGGCTCGTCCGCCAAACTCGACGTCGCGAAGCAGTTCGGCGCAGACTACGGGATCGACTACACGAAGGAGGGGTGGCAGAAGGAGGTGATGGAGATCACGGAGGGTCACGGAGTCGACGTGTGCGTTTGCGCGCTCTCGCCTCTCCCGAACCGTCGCTGATCAGCCTCGTCCTGCTGCCCAGAGTCTACGATCCGGTCGGCATGATCGTCCCGTCGCTCAAGTGCATTGCTTGGAACGGCCGCCTCGTCGTCGTCGGATTCGCCGCCGGCTCAATCGAGAAGATCCCTGCCAACCTCCTCCTGCTCAAGAACTGCTCGGCGATGGGTGTCTTCTGGTGCGCACTGCTCTCCCTTCTCTCCCACGAATAGGCTTGCTGACACTTGCAGGGGGACACAGGGGCGCCTACGTGAAGAACGAGCCCAACGTCGTCCCCGAAGTCTGGGGCGCGCTGCTCGACATGTTCGAGAAGAAGCAGATCCGTGGGACCGTCTTTGAGAAGCTCTACGACGGACTTGCGGCGGTGCCGGAGGGCTTGAGGGCGTTGGGGAGCAGGGAGACTTGGGGGAAGGCGGTCGTGAAGGTCCAGGGTGGAAGGGAGGGGAAGCTGTAGAGGCCAAGGGGCGTATTCTTCCTGCAGTGCCAAGGCTGTTGTTATAGCGTTCAGCACTCAGGTCGTGAGCTGCGCAGTGTCGCGACGAAGAGACTTTCCCACCCGCGCGAGTTGTCTCGCCGCTTTCGCAAACCAACCCGGAGCCAGTCCATCGTCGGTTCTCCAAATCGCGCGAGAACACTTATATTACACTCAATCCCAGCTATCATCGCTGCCCAAGTCTCCCACGACGTCCCTGAAGAAGCTGTTGACGGCATCTACTCCCAGAACATCTTCAGCCTCGGTGCAGTCGCCCGTCTCGAGCGCCCACGACAGCAGGGCATTGTGAACCTCTCGATCGTAGTCCGTCTCCCAGCCGAAGACTTCGAGAGCCTTCCCGTCAACCTCGATTCCCGACAGTTCCGCCTCGTCGAGCACCTTGCGCAGGCCAGCCTCGGTACAGTCGTCCGGCCACTCGGGACCGAACCAGTCGGGATACGTGTGGAAAGGCGTGTCGGCTGCTTCGGGGCTGAGCTCGTAGTTCTGGCTGGCCATCGTCGTCCCGCGGACGCAGTCGACATAGTCCAGCGTCAAGTTCTCGAGGTAGACCTCAAGTGTGCCATCGACAAGCTGGAGGAGGAACTCGTCTGTTACTGGTGCTGCCGGACCGACGCCGAGCCAGACGAGGAAGGCGGCCGTTGGAAGGTACCGCACCAACTTCGGCAAAGTGAAAATGCCTCTGGAGAGGTAGAGTAGTTCAAGATCGATGAATTCAGGCATGATTGCGTCTAGAGACCCTCGGTCTGCTGCGCCGTCGTCGATATCCACGCACCGATTCGTCAGCCGTAAGGATTCAAGCGCGCGCGGCAGGGTTGCCACTATCGATTGGAAGCTGCTGATGCCGGTCTCCTCGGTTACGTCGAAAGCTCGCAAACCTGGGAAGACAGTGCCGAAGTCGTACGGCGGCCACTTATCAACGTTGTCGTCGGTAAGGACGAGAACCGTGATGTTCTCGTACGCGCCAGTTGGAGGAAGCAGGACTCGCGCCGCCGAATACTCGAGGTCCAGGTGATAGAGAGACGGCAGGCATTTGAGCTGGGTGGTCCAGGCTTGCTGCTCAATCGAAAGTAGCGACTCCGAAGTGACGGAAAGAACCTCAAGACGCTTGAGACTCGCGAGTCCCCCTTCAAGGACGACCCGAAGGAGATCGTCACCGAGGTGTGCAGCCCACAACTCCGACAGGCCAGGCAACCGGCGAAGAAGCTCGGCGAAGTCGACAGCCTTGACCGTGCCATTCGTGATTTGGGTCGGCTGTGCACGCGTCTCCTTGTTGAACTACAGTCGCAGACTCCGTACATATCGTCCGAGAACAGCCTTTGTGTCAAGGAATGCGCAGAACGTGGCGAGCGCCGTACGGTTGCTTAGGAAGACACCGCGAAAGAGACGCTTCTGGGCAAACTGGTGAAGGTCGCGGCAAATCGGCTTCGGGCGCTTGTCATCCTCGTAGGCGTACTCGAAAATGATGTCAAGCAGCTCATGCGGGAGCCTGAGGAGCGGGAAGGGGTTGATGGGGTGCGAGGGCGATGAGGTCTGCGAGCGGGACATGCGCGGTGAGCAGGCGTCGCGGGACGGTGCGAGCTGCGCGCGTATCTCGAGAGACATTCCGGCGAGCAGAAGAAGGCAGTCAAGCGGGTCACGGAGCGGTAGCAAGGAGCAGCGAGTGAGCGGGACGAGCAGAAGAGGCAAAGTCGCAGGTTGGTCCTCGTCGACAGCGTCGCAGTTTACGAGGAGGCCGTTTTCACTCTTGCGCAGACTCTCAAGAGCCCCTTGGGCGAATCTGGCCAGCTAACGAAGCATCTCAAGTTGTTCTCGCTCTCGCTCGTCGCAACTTTGCTTCCTCGTCTGCCGTGGGGAGCAAGAAGCTATTCGTACACTGCACGCGAGAGACACACGGCGTCTAGAGAGGTTGCGAGCTCGAGCTCAAAGGCGGAGGCGCCGGGCCAGGCGGCGTGATGAAGTGTTCCTTCCGCTCCTTCGTCCACTGCCGCGCCATGTAGTCCCTGATCTCCTGCCAGCTGAAGTCCGACTCGTCTGCCGTTGACCAGTCCCCACGCTGTACGCCCTGTTCAACGACGATCGCCAGCTGTTCCTGTCGCCAATCCTCGTAGCGCTTCTTGATGGCGAGTGCCGTGCCGTCGACGACCACGTCCCGCTCCTCCGCCTTGGCGAAGAAAGCCTGGAGACCCTCCCAGGTTCCACCATCCGGCCACTGGGGTGAGCACAGATTCCATCGACCAACGTCTTGAAGCGCAGCCCAGTCTGCATCCAAGATGCCAGGCTGCTTGATCGGGGGAAGCCCGGCGCGATAATAGGCGTACCAGTCTTCACGCAAATGGTTAAGGGTGATGTGCTCGATCTGCGGGAGTCGGACGATCTGTGATAGGGTGTCGTCGGAGAGTTGGCAGTCCCAGTCGAAGCCGATGCGCCGGATGCGGGAGGAGCGTAGGTAGGGGACGAGCTCCTCTTTGTCAAATGTACCGTATGGAAGGTAGAGCGTGTCGAGATCGGGGAAGTCTGGAAGGAGGGAAAGAACGTCGTCCCAAACGGGGTCACCGTCCTCCGGCGGTCCCAAGTTGTTGTCGGTACGTCGAAGGTCGATCGTGCGAACAGATGCCGGTAGTTGTTCGATGTACCGCGAGACACGGTCGTCCTCCGTTGCAGTGACGGCGAAGAAGTCCCGAAGCTCCGGGAAAAGGCCGGCAAAGTCGGGTGACGGGCATCCACCTTGGTCGCAGGTGATGCTGAGTGCACTGATCTGGGCGTTGAAGATATCCTGGCGGCCGGGACTTGGGAGAGGCGGCATGTCTTCCATGTAGCGGAAGTGCAATTTTCGCAGGCGCGGATGCCGTGCCAATTGAGCCTTGAGTTGTACCCCATCGTGGTCGTGCTCGTGCCGCCATTCCTCAATGTGCAGCTCTTCCAACTCGGTGAGCTGTTGCAATTCCGTCCCGCACAGGAGAGTCTCGAGGTCCGGCGGGAGGCGTGCGAGGATGAGGACGCGGAGCCCGCTAAGCTGCAACCACAACTGCATCAGGTCTTGTCCGGAGAGGATACCGTGTCCCTGCCTCCGACACTTGAGCGCCTCGATAATCTCGTAGTCTTCAGGGAACGATGGGAGAAAGCCCGGCTCCGGCCGACTTGGTCCCCTCCAGTATTCATCGTGGAAGTCGATGCGCAGAATTCGCACGTGGACCGCAAGGTCGGGGCGTCGACGCAACGTTGCGCAGAAGAGCTGCAGGGCTCGGAGGGTGCGAACGGGCGCATCGCGGTAGAGGAATCTGGCGAATGAGGGTTGGAGATGCCGGCAGAAGACGGCGTAAGGGACTCGTGCGTGCTCGGAAGGGTCTCCGGGGCCGTAAGCGTAGGTAAGAATGATGTCGATGACCTCGACTGGCAGACGGAGGAACGGGGAAGGCGGGCGAGGTAGGCGTCTTGTCTGAGGAGGAGAGCGAGGTGAGCACGTGAGGACGGCGTCTGCGGAGGGTTGGGCGCACTCTTTTCGGCATATCGACAAGTGCAGTGGGCAAGCAGACTCGAATAAAGCGGTAGCAAGCAGTTGCGAGTGAGCGGTAGGAGGAAGAGAGGGTCGTCGATGAACTTGTCACCGCCCATCGCTCTTTCCGTGACAGACTGCGCTTGAATGGGCTCGATACGGCTGCGATGACTTCCCCAGCAGCGTTCTTCAAAGGCGCGACGCTCGACATCGTCCTCTCTGCCTCGCCCGCCCTCCTCGCCGAAGCCCCGCCTGCAACGACTCTCGCCGGCCTCGCAGACGAGCAACTGGTGCGGGACACGGACAGATGGGTGGAACGACTCCTGGCGAGCAAGCGGCGACCAGCGCTGTACTTCGACGAGCGAGTCTCATTCCACCTCGTCCTCTCGCTCCCCACCTCCCCCTCCTCTACCTCGACTTCGACTTCGCCCCTCTCCCGCGCTCAAGCAGCGACATTGCTTCGTCAATCCCTTCCTCAGCCGCACCTCGGCCTCTCTGCCGACCTCAGCTTCGTCGAGGGCGCGCCCAACACCTTCCCGACGGGTCTGCCGCCTTTACCGACGAGAACCTCGTCCCTCACTGGCAGTCTCGCCGCCAAAGTCCCCCTCACGCCTGCACCTTTCCCTGCCCTAACTGCCGGCGAAGACTACGCTGGCCAGGCAAAGGAGATACCGAGCATCGTCGGAGGCGGGACAGCGGGAGGAGGCGTCCAGGTCGCCAACGTCAAGTTTGACGAGAGCAGCGGGCGCGCATGGGTTGCACAGCGACCGGCAGGCGGCTGGGTCGGCGTGTGGGAATTCTGCGCGGATGTCGGTGAGATTCAACCGTCTCGACCCTTGCGAGAGCGCGTTGTTGACAACACTTCGTCGCGCACAGCCTTCGTCCGCACTCATCTCGCCGACCCTCGACTATCTCTTACCGTCACAGTCTCGCTGCGAGATGACCCGCGACTAGCGCTACTGCTGGAAAAGGCGAAGAGCGGTATTGTCGGCGACAACTCGATGGACGGGCTGGGCGGTGCAGCCGCCAGTGAGGACGACGACTACATGGCTGACAGCTACGATGGTGAGCGGACCCATCATCTGAGCGTTTGTACCCGGCTGACCTCGTAGACGCAGACGTAAACCTCCTCTCCGCCCTCGCCCCCATATCTTCGACGCCGCTACACCTTCCCTTCTCGCGACTGCCACCTACCTTCCTGCCTCCCATGCCTCCGCCCACTCTTCCCGTTCCACGACCATCTCGCTCCTTCTCCGTCTCGCACACTCGCACACTCTCCTCCTCTTCCGCTGGTGGCGCATCCGCATTCAGCAACGACGCATCTCTCCTCCACCCTTCTCTTCGACGCTCTATCCGTCGGGTGCTGCCCATTCGGTCACCAATCCGACTCGAGATGCGGACCTTCCCTTGTCCCGTCGGCGCACTGGGCTTGGCAGAAGGTGGACGAGTCTGGGAAAGAGATGAGGAGGACGGCGTGGTGCTTGCAGTCGAGCTTTCAGCGCCTCGCGGAGCTCCCGCGGGCGAAGGGTTCGAGGTGGAAGGGCTGGAGGTTTCGGTCGAAGGAGCGGCGGGAGTGGGACAACCGACGCGGTCGAATCAGCAGCACGACCTCGAGGTCCGCGAGATCCGGTCCGGCTCACTCGCACCGAAGGGCGACACGGTGTCGAAAGACTGGCCCATCCTTATCAGCGGCTCGAACGCCCAGCAGAACTTCCTTTACGCCATCGCTCGCGTCCCTTCCGCCGCTTCTTCCGCCTCGCCAACCAACATTCTCAGCGATCTCGGCCGCGAAGATTCGAGCAGCGTCGGTACTGTGCCTATCGCCGTGGCGAGCAGCCCGACGCAGCGTTTCACGGCAAGGTTCGGCGCGGAAGATGGCGCGGCGTCAGCCCTCGTCGGAGGCGTCGGGCAAGGAGAGCGGCGCGGTAGCCTCGTGCCGGCAGCTACGGCCGCGAACGATACGGCAACGAGACAAGCCCGTGCTTGGCTGAGGAACGTCACGGTTGTCGTCAAGGGACGGCCAATCGTGTCGGGGCGAGCGGTCGCAGACGATGGCTATGCAGTACCAGATGCCGTTGAGGTGAACGTAGGGAATGGGGCGACGACGGACGACGATGGCGAATCGCCGACTCCAGCCTTTCGCTCGCGATGGCATTGCACGCTCGACATCTCATCCTTCGCGCAGCGCTCACCTCCTCGCCCGGCCATCTTCCAGCAACCTCTCGCTCCTCCAGTCCGTCTTACCTCGATCGCAGCGCCAGTTCTGCCGTCCGCGGCCCTCCCCGCAAAACCCGTCTCATTCCCGCTTCGACCTGCGTCGACCGCGGCTAATGTCGAATTCGAGTCGGTTGCCGGGTCCAAGCGACACACCATGTCGTCCCTCGCATCGCTCTCGCTCAGGTCGCCCGTCATGACCCGGAAAGGCTCGCTCGGCTTCCCTCCACCGCCTGTCCCGCCTCACCCGCCTGTACCGAGTCGAACATCCACCGATCGACCTCTTTCAACTCGTGCACTCCCTCCGACTCCCTTCTCCCCGCCCGCACCGTCGACTTCCGCCTCCGCCTCGACCGGCCCGAAACGCTTCTTTTCCCTCCCGCACGCCGGCCACTCTGCGACCGATGTGTCCAACTCTTCGACGAGCGCGCTCGCTTCAATTCTGCCGTCCATCACGCCCACTCGCACCGAGACGCCACCGCCGATGTCTGCGCCAAACGGCAAGCGGTCGAGTTTGCCCGTACCGCATATGGGCGGCTTGCTCGAGCGGCCAAAGTCGGCGCAGCGAGCGAGCTGGGTCAGCAACCTCGTCAGCGGACGAGACTCTGCGACTCCGTCTCAGTACGGCGCGCCCTCGAGGACTGGCAGTGTCGGTCATGGCGAGACGAGCTGGGAGAGGCGGTCGTCCCTCGCTACGCCTGTCCCGGCTGAGCACGCGGCGCCTCCGCCTCCAGCCAGTCTTGGACTTGGGCTCGAGGCAGTGGACGTGCCTCGAGCTGAGCCGGAGCAGTCCATGGCGATGGGCAAGGTGCTTGTCTCTGTCTCGCTCGTCCCGCTTCGGCAGGCCAAGTCTCGTCGACCCGCCGCTTTCGCCGGCGACGCAACTGGTGCTTCCTCCATCGGTCGCACGAATGAGAACCTGCCGCCTCCGACCTTGCCGGGCCTGGCGCCGCCTTCGCCAGATCCGAACGCTTCGCCAGGCTCGGGTACACCGCATCACGCCGCCTTCTCCTTCCCTCCCGCATCGCCTGACCCGTCTTCCTCGCCGAGCGGCAGTCCAGCCACACCCGCAAGTCCCGTCACCGCCTTCTCACCCGCTCCCTCCGCCGCTGCAGCCCGCGCGCTTGCGGAGCGCACCAACCTCGCCACGTCTCGTATGCCCCGCGTCAACCTCCTCGACGTCTTACTCGTCGAGGTGTTTGTCTTCAACCAGAGCGACCAGGTCAAACGGTTCACGGTCGGCGTGCCGCCCGAGCACATGCATGGCGATGCGACTGCGAGGGAGGGCAAAGAGGTTGCGCCGGCTGGTCCAACTGGTGCTGTCAAAGGGCGCAAGTCGGCGTCGCTGCTAGCGGAGCAAGATGCGAAGGTGGCGCGCCTGGTCCCGCTCGAGAACGATGTCCGGATCGGGTGAGTCTGGCTTTGCTCTCGGTTCTACTTCGCTCGGCGCTGACGTACCGGCGTTGTCACACAGCCCGCTCGCGCCGAACAGCTGCGCATCAGTCGGCATCCGCTTCCTCGCCATCCGGCCAGGCTCGCACGTCGTCGAGCAACTTCGCCTGGTCGACTTGAGTGATGGCAGCGAGACGAGGTTGTCAAGGCCGCTTTGGGTCGTCGTCGAGTAGGAGGTCGTCGGGCGTAGACATTGAATGGTTTGTATGGCGTGCATGTTGTCGTTCTCGCTCTTCTTCGCCCCATCTCGCGAGAGTCGCCCGTCTCCTTCCTCCTCTCCGCGGGCTAATCTCGCAGGTCGAATCGCTGACGTCGCACTGCTGTCCTCGCCACCTCTCTGCTACTGACGAGCCCGCCAAAATCGCCGGCGCTGTCAACTCGAGATGTC